TAGCTTCTCGCCCTGGCCAGTTTGGCTAATTGGTTAGAGCATCTGCCTGCGGACTGAAGGGTCCCAGGTTTGACTCCAGTCAAGGGCATGAACCTTGGTTGCAGGCTCAATCCCTGGCCCTGGTCAGGGCGTGCGGGTGGCCACCAATCGATGTGTCTCTCTCACATCGATGTTTCTCTCTTTCTCGACTCTCCCCCTCCCTCCCACTCGCTCAAAAAATAAAATCAATAGAAAAGTATCCCAGGGTGATGATTTACTAAAATAAAAATAAAAAAGACTAAAACAAAAAAAAAATAGGAAAGAAAACCCCAAAAGACAAAAAAAAATGTAACAACTACCACATCCCTTGAGTTCATACAAAGATGACGGACGGGAGCAGGCGTGCCTCCCCAGGTCACCGCATCTGCTGTGTGCGTGGCCCTAGCGCCCGGAGAGAAGCCACACCCAAACGCAGCATCGTTGCAAACAGGAGCAGAGTCAAGCGCTGCCCACTGGGCCCGTCCGGGGTGCTGACAGCACCGTTTCACCCCATCTCCTCCAGGGAGAGGGAGATCAGTTGCTATACTTTGTGTTCAACTCAATTACCGTGTTTTAAAAATAGCCCGCTGCCGCCCGACCACAGCCCGCGAAGCCCCTTCGCCAGCTCCTCCCCGGAGGCCCACCGGGGCCATCCCCGCATGCCCAGGGCGAAGGGAGCCGGTCACAGCTGCAGCCCTGGCTGGGGCCACCCCGCCTTTGCCTTCGGCAGAGCTGCTCCTCTTAACACCATTAAGTGAAATGGAAAGTTTTCACTTGAAAAGGAAAGCCTTAGAGGTTGACAAAAGCACACTTCTGGCCCTGGCTGGTTTTGCTCAGTGGATAGAGCAGCGGTTCTCAACGTGTGGGTCGCGACCCCTTTGGGGGTTAAACGACCCTTTCACAGGGGTCGCCTAAGACCATCGGAAAACACATATAATTACATATTGTTTTTGAGGTTAATCACTGTGCTTTAATTATGTTCAATGTGTAACAATGAAAATACATCCTGCATATCAGATATTTACGTTACGATTCATAACAGCAACATTACAGTTATGAAGTAGCAACGAAAGTAACTTTATGGTTGGGGGTCACCACAACATGAGGAGCTGTGTTAAAGGGTCACAGCATCAGGAAGGTTGAGAACCACTGGGATAGAGCATCGGCCTTCGGACTGAAGGGTCCCGGGTTCGACCCCGGTCAAGGGCACATGCCTGTTGCAGGTTTGCTTGATCCCTGGCCCGGGTCTGGGCGCATGTGGGAGGCAACCAACCCATGTGCCTCTCTCACATCGATGTTTCTCTCTCTGTGTCTCTCCCTCTACCTCCCACTGTCTCTAAAAATCAATGGGAAGCCCTGGCCAGTTTGGCTCAGTGGATAGAGCATCAGCCTGCGGACTGAAGGGTCCCGGGTTTGATTCTGGTCAAGGGCACAGGCCCGGGTTGTGGGCTCCATCCCCAGTAGGGGCCCTGCAGGAGGCAGCCGATCCATGATTCTCTCATCATTGATGTTTCTCTCTCCTTTCCCTTCAATAAAAATACTTTTTAAATAAATAAAAATCAATGGGAAAAATATCCTCGGGTGAGGATTAACAACAACAAAAAACAAAAATATGCCTCTGCAACCGCACTGCCCGACGAACCCACCTCTCAGGCCTGTCTTGAAGCCAGGTGCTCAGTTCAGGTTTTTGGCACAGAAACCCCTTCAAACAACAGGGCGGAGACAGCCATCTCCTCAGCCTCACGGACAGGCTGCGGCCGGAAGTCCAGACCCCTTTCCTTCTGTCCCAACTGCCATGGCGCTTGCCAGCAGAGGGAAGCAGAGGGTGAAGGGGCCACCTTCGCTTTAAAGACCTGTCCTGTCCCGGGAAGTCCCGGTTGGAGCTTCCAGCGCCCCTCCCTGGCAGCTCACTCACTCTGGGACCCGACTCCAAGCCTCCTGCAGGCCCCCAGGCCCCACGGCCGGCCGGCGACCCTGTCACCTTCCACCCCCTCCTGCCTCCCTCGCCTCCCCAGTTAGACTTCCCACCCAGCCTCCTAGGCACCCTCGCACACTCCCGGGCTCCACGGTCCCTCCCTTCTTCCTACATCATACTTTCGGGCAAAACTCCAACTTGCTCAAATCCAGCTGCACCTGCTCTGCATCCGAGTGTGGCTGACGTACAGCCCAAAGCCTGGCGGGAGTCTTCCGCTGGCACCCGGACCCCTAACCTGCCTCCTGACCTCACCCAGCACAGCCCGATCTGGCCCCTAACCTGGCCCTAACCCAGTGGTCGGCAAACTCATTAGTCAGCAGAGCCAAATATCAACAGTACAACGACTGAAATTTCCTTTGAGAGCCAAGTTTTTTAACCTTAAACTATATAGGTAGGTACATTGTTATTAACTTCATTAGGGTCCCCCTAAGCTGGCCTTTGCTAAAAACGTCCTCAATCTGATGGAGGTACGTTCGCTGAGGTCGGCCCCTTCCACTCTCCCATCCACACGCGTCTTGTACACTTGTTCCGTCCATCTCCTTTTGTTCTTCCCCTCTATATGTCCACCCCCCACTTCGAACGCCACTTCTTCAAAACAGACTCGCCCAGGCCGAACACCGACTTCTGCGCACGGGCCACGAGGTTTCAATCGCACTGTACGTGCGCCCGCACATGGTGTTTTCTGGAAGAGCCACACTCACGGGGCCAAAGAGCCGCATGTGGTTCGAGAGCCGCGGTTTGCCGACCACTGCCCTAACTCATTGCCAACCTCCCTAACTGGGACGGTCCTGCTACCGGGACCACCCCCCGCCCCGCCCTGTTTCTCTCCACTCTTGTCCCTTGGGGAAACGCACAGCAATTACGGAAGGTTATTAGGAGTTGTGGGGAGCACAGGGGAGAGGAAAAGGGAGCCCCCACAAAAAGAGAAAAAGGCAACAAGAATCCCTGACATTAAAACAAAGGGGCTGTGCCCTGATTCTGCGCACTTGGACGGCGGGCGGAGATGCGGGCATTAGGTTACGTAGGGCAAATGGCCCTTCCTGGTTTAGGCTTGTTTGCAAACGCGAACTAGCCACTGTGTGCACAGGGTCTCTAGCTAAGCAGCAAACCCAGTAAACACATTGTTGGAAAGTGGGTTCCTCACCCAGCTGGCGTGGCTCCGCGCCTGAGCACTGATCAATGAACCAGGAGGTCAGGGCTGGAGTCGGCCAGGGCACGAGCCTGGGCTGGGGGCTGGAGGCCCAGGAGGGGGCGTGCAGGAGGCAGCTGGGCAATGCTTCTCTCTCATCATTGCTGTTTCTCTCTCTCCCCCGCTCTCTGAAATGAATAAAAACATTAAAAAAAGAAATTAGTTTCTCTGACACCCCAACCAGCCTGGGCTGCAGAGAACTCAGACACAGTGCCCCTGTGGGGACCCTGTTCTTCACTTCTCCCCCGCACCTCACTTGGCAGGGCTGGGGGGTCATCTCAAGGGCAGATGAGCAGTGTTGCTGCATTAAAAAAAAATTTTTTTAACAGCTGGAGCCTCGGGCAATACGGGGTGGGGGCTTTCTCCTCCGCTCCCCAACCCATGTCTCTCCAAGTCCTGCAGACACCCTGTCCCGCCCTCCACCGCCGCCTCCTGCTGTCTGGGGTCCGCCGGGACCCCTCAGCATCAGCCCCTTCTCCGGGGCCTCCCTCCCTGCCCCTGCCAGGCTTGGGGACAGAGCCCTGGCAGCTGCCAGCTGTGGCGCTCGGGCACACATAGTCCTACACACCGTGGGCACTGAAGTGCCAGCCCTGTCCGACCCGAGGGCCGGTCCATCCTGGTTCCGGCCTGGCCTTGGGCGCAGGAGCAAGGATCGTCCTTCCTCATACCCCTTGGCGTCCTGGGTGGACGGGCGGGCGAAGGGCCTGGCTTTACCGTCTGTGGGCAGCGGAGTCTGGGTTTCTGGCCCCTGTGCTCAGATTAACTGGCATTTGCCATCTATGGCGCTCACCGCCCAGGGCCACGTCATGTCATTTCAAAGCCCCTGCACTGACTGGCACCTTCTCCTGCCGGGATGAGACGGCAGGCCAACCTGGCCCAGCACCTGGCAGGTTTTTTTAAAAATTATTAAATATATTTCTTTACTGATTTCAGAGAGAGAAACATCAATGAGAATCATTGACTGGCTGCCTTCTGCACACCCCCCACTGGGGATCGAGCCCGCAACCCAGCCATGTGCCCTTGACCAGGAATCGAACCTGGGACCCTTCGGTCCGCAGGCCGACGCGCTATCCATGAGCCAAACCGGCTAGGGCAGCGCTTGGCAGTTCTGCTTCGGGAAAACTATGGCCGGCGGGCTACGCTCCTTCCGGACGGTGACAGCGGGAGCCGGGGAAGCTCCGGGAAGACGAGCAGGTCACCCAGCCTCTCCAGACAAGGGAGCCGGCAGGGCCAGGGGCCCGCGCTCGTGCATCCAGAGAACAGGTGCCCAGGCGGACGGACGGGGCGAAGGCCGCGGGGGGAGGGGGGGGCGGGCAGTGCGGCGAGGCCCCGCAGAGCCGGGTGCGGGGGGCCGGGTGCAGGCCCACGGGCGCGGCCTGCAGGGGGAGCGGGCTCCACGCCCCCAGCCCGCTGTCCCCGGTGTTCGCGCCAACCCCGCGGGCGTGACCTCCTCTAAGGGCGGGGAGGGCGGGGCTCCAAGGTCACGCCGCCCGGCGTCGCTGGGGAGCCGGCGCTGGAGCCGGCGGGGCGGCTGCGGGTGGGGCCGGCGCTGGCGGGAAGTCCCGAGGCCCCATCCCGGGCGGGGGGTGGGCAGGCGGGGCGGGACCCGAGGCCGACGGCGGACACGGCGTGTGGGCTGTGCGCCCGCCGCCGCTCCGACACCGGGGGCCCCGCGGCGCCGAGGCCGACCACAGAGCGGCGGGGCCGGGCTCCCCAGTCCCGGTGGCCCCCAGCTGCCAGCCGCCTCCGGACGCGGAAGGACCAGCACCACAGCTCCCTCCGCGAGTGCGCGGCGGCGCGGCGAGGACCAGAATGCAGCGCGCGGGGCCGGCCGCGGGGCACGCCGGGACCGGTAGTCGGCCGCGGGGCACGCTGGGACCCGTAGTCGGCCGCGGGGCACGCCGGGACCGCCCTCACCTGGCCGGCGGCGGGCGCCCGAGGGGCCCAATGGGAGCGGCGCCCGTCGCCCCGCCCCGCGCCGCCGGACGTCTGTGCCGGGACATGGTCGCCGCCGGTGCCGGGTCCTTGAGCTGAGCGCCCGCCGCCGGCAGCCAACCGCCGCCTCAACCGTCCGCGCGGGCGGGCCGAGCCGCCGCCAGGCCGGCGAGGAGGAGGAGGAGAAGGAGGCCGCCTCAGGAGGCGGGAGCCGCCGGACACATGGCGTCCATCTTGCTGAGGAGCTGCCGCAGCCGGGGGCCCGCCCGCTTCCCGGCGCCCCGCGCCGCCGCCCGGGGGGGTAAGTAATCCGCCGTCGGCGCGGGCCGGGGGCCGGAGGACCGAGCTGGGGAGGGGGCTCCGGGCGGCGGGACGCGGCGGGGCTGGGTCACGCCGGCTGGGCCCGGCCGCCTGCCCCGCGCCACGCCCCGGCGGGCGGGCCGGTTGCCGGGCACGGAGGCCGTGCGTCCCGGAGGCCGGCGGGCGGCGGCCTGTGACTCGCTCGCGCCGTGACCTCAGCCGCCCGCCGGCCGCGGCGAGCAGAGCGGGGCCGGGAGAGCTTTGCAGGGAACGCGCTGCCGTCCGCCCGGCGCTGTTCGCGGGGAAGCTCCGTGGAACGCGGCGCCCATCACGAGAGCAGCCGCGTCCTTGGGCCGCTGCCCGGGCTCCGAGACGAGGCGGCCGGGGGAAGGCGGGGGAGGGGGGGCGGGCAGGACCTGCGGGGGGACCTGCGCCTGCACCCGGGGCGCCCGCGACCCCAGCTGGGACCCGGGAATCACACCCAGCGCGGGCTCCTCGGGGTCCCCCCTCTCTCCACGAACCCCAGGTTGCGGGAAAGAGGACGCTTGTCCTGTGAGACCGAGACCCGAGTGAAAGGAGCCTCCCGGGGCGCGATTCTGGAAACTTTTCAGCCGCGATGGCTGCCGGGCCTTTGGAGCGCTGGCAGCGGGAAGGGCCTGCGTGCCGGTGCCGGTGCCGCCCGGCCGGCCGCTCCCCGCCGCGGCTCCTGATGACGGCGCCCTGGCCCCCGCCTTCATAGCGCTGGGGTGGGCGGGGCCAGCCTGGGTGGCGGTATCGTTTCGGGGTCACGCGTGTTCCCTGTGGTCATGTCCCCCGCGGGGTGGCCGCCAGGCCGCGGGTTTGCTGTGGGCGGCGGGCTCCGGCTGCTGCGGCCGGTCCGGTCCGGTCCGGTCCAGGCCCGGTGCTGGCATCTGACACCTGACATCTGACATCAGGGCGCCTCTTCGTTGCAGTCGCGGAGCCGGTGCGGAGACTGTTAGCTGCGGCCGCGCGGGTCACTGCCCTTGTTCTGACACCGTTTCCCTGTGACATCCTCTCCCGTCCCGCGCGCTTCTTTCTCACGGACCCTTCTCATCCCGGGACCCCAGGAGCCGCGGCGCCTTCAGCCAGTTTCTCTCCAGCTTCCCGGGTTTCGGGAGGACTGGTGGATACATTGTGGCCGCTCCTCTGTGGGGATGTACCCGTGTTGCTCAGGCTCAGAGCGGCTGTGGGTCTTGGGGAGCGTCCTCATCCCTCTGGTCCAGGGGCCAGCTGCCAGCGTGAGGCTGGGGGGGGGGTCTGCCAGGCCCCCTGCTCTGCGGTCACTCCCCGCCCCCATTGGCACGCCGCCCTTTGGAGGAAGTGCTGTGTGCAGGGCATCTTGGGGCGGGCCTGGGGCTGCCTAGAGGTGGGTGGGCCAGGCTCACCTTCACCTTCACCAGGGACTGGGTGTGAGGGCAGAGGGCAGGTGCCCTCAGGGAGGCTCCCAGCCGTAATGGAAACGGCCTCAGAGGAGCTGCCTGGGGGAGCCGGGGGTCTTAGGGCTGTGGAATGGCAGGTGCCCATGGACGCTGGGTCAGGTGCACCCACAGGTATTCAGGTACAGTGCCTGTGGGGGAGCTGGAGGTGGGGCAGCTGGCGAGGGAGAATCCGGGGTCCCATGAAGAGAGGTGTGGGGTGTGAAGAAATACGCTTGGTCTCTGCCCCTCCCCCAGTTCTTGCCAGAGCTCCAAAAGCCCTTGGGATTTCTTGTTCATATTTTTAAATATATACATAGGCCCTGGCTGGTGTGGCTCAGTGGATAGAGCATTGGCCTGTGGACTGAAGAGTCCCGGGTTCGATTCTCGCCAAGGGCACATGTCCGGGTTGTGGGTTCGGTCTCCAGTGTGGGGCGTGCAGGTGGCAGCCAATCAATGGTTCTCTCTCATCATTGATGTCTCTCTCTCTCTCCCATATATTTTATTGATTTCGGAGAGGAAGGGAGAGAGGGAAACATCAATGATGAGAGACAGTCATCCATTGGCTGCCTCCTGCACGCCCCACACAGGGGGTAAAGCCCGCCACCCAGGCATGTGCCCTGATGGGGAATTGAACCTCCTGGTTCATAAATCGACCCTCAGCCACTGAGCCACGCTGGTGGGTGGAGTTCCTGGAGTGATCAGGGTGTCTTGGGTGATACATAATGAGCCACTCTTCCTCTAACCTGAGTGTATGCTAATGAAGTCCCTGTGATTAGCGGTTTGGACCTTCTACCCCACCCCCAACCTCGGGGAGAAGTGGGGGCCTGGAGATTGAGCTCAATCGCCAGTGGTCAAACAGGTAACCAGTCATACCAGGTACTGAAGATAAAGGTCTTGGACAGGGAGGCGTGGGGAGCTTCTGGGTTGGCGGCACTTGCTGACCCCACAAGGAGGAAGCTTCTGCATTCAGGGCGGCTGGACCTTGAGCTGTGTGCCTCCTCCTCTGGGCGGCACCGTGTCCTCTGTAGTGAACTGCAGCAGCAAGGAGAGCACCTTCCCGGGTCCGGTGTCATCCCAGCACGTTGTCAGGCGAGGCGTTCAGGGACCTGCATCTGTAGTTGGTAGAACGCGGGCAGCCTGGGCACCCTCCTTGCAGCTGACACGTGGGCGGGGCGGGCGGGGAGTCTCGTGTAACTTGGGGTCTGTACTAACCCGGGTAGTGTCAGCATTGAATGGTAGGACACACACCTGGTGTGGGAGAGTTGTTGTGGGAAAAAAAAACAACACAGCAGGGCTTCCAGGAGGAGGGGGTGTCCACGGACCACCTTGTTGGCTTCTGGGAGGCATGTGCAGGTGGGGAGCCATTTCTGAGCCAACCTGAGGGGGGGTGCTGGCCTGGGCAGGCAGAGGGGACAGGCCAGGGGTGAGGGGCAGACTTCTTTTTGGGAGACAACTGGGGACTCCCCGGCTGGAGTGGTGTGTTGGCCATGTGTTTTGTAATGTTAACAGGAAATGTCACGTGTGAAATAGGAAAGGTACTTTATGAACCATGGTGACCGAGCTAGTGAGCCCAGCCCCCAGCTGACAGCCAGGCTGACATCCACGAGCAAGACTCTAAATTTAATGTTTGATGGGAGCAGCTTTCTGCACAGGAAAGTGAGACTAGTCTGTGTTGACAGCAGCCTCCTATCGAATTTCACAAGTGACAGCTGGAGTCCCTGTCCTCAGAGGGTCCACCTCGCCTGGCCGCACCGCAGGGCCTAGAGTGGGGCCGGCCCCGGTCCCGTCCGTCTTCTGTTCTGCTGGCCCCAGCGTTGGCTCTCGGCAAGCCCGGCCTGTTCCAGGCACTCCTGCTCCTGCCGGCCTTGCTGCCAGCGCCCTCCAGGCTCCCCGCCTGCGCCCAGCGGCTCAGGACTGTCCTGTCCCCTCAGGGCCTGACCGCAGGAGGCCCGCAGGCCGGTCATGTGGGTGACCCTGCACTTATGCTGAGGGGGACTAGTGAGGTAGGGCAAGGGTCACAAATACAACCAGATCCTCACATTGCGCTGTGTGCTCATCAAGGTTTAGCCAAAAAATGGCTTACTCTTGGCGTTTGTTTTCCCAGGAATTCTCAGCCCTCGCCCCTCGTGTGGGCAGGGGAAGCGGTGGGTCACCTGGGTGTGGCCTTGCTGGCACGCGGGGCTGCCTGTGCGTTGGGGTCCTGTTCCTTCTGGCTCTGCCCACCAGAGCCAAGCTGGAGCCAGCAGGGAGCTGCCCCTGGGGCCCTGAAGCTGGAGTCCCTGGGCCTTTGGCTGGCGCTCCGCTTGGGAGATGCGGAGCCAGGGGCTGACTCGGGCTCCCCTTCTCCCCTAGAGCCACCCCAAGACCCCGGGCCGTCCCGGGGCAAACCCTTCCCCTGGCAGCACCCTGAACTGTTCAGCAGCCACTCGGGGTTCCAGCTCACCTTAAAGGGGCTCCTCAGACTCGCCGCGGTGTCAGCATAGAGCGCCTGGTGTGAACTGACCGTTTCCTCTGCTTTGCTGCAGGTAGCCCGGGGGACCATGCCTGTCTCAGCTGTGCCAACACCGTGGGGTGGATCAGCCGCCTGTAAGTAAGCGTGTCTGCCTCGAGGGCTGCTGGAACGATGGGAACCCTCCGTCTGGGGAGCCAGTGTCTCCTACTCTCCTGTTTCTTATGTTTCTGCTTCTTTGAAAAAACACAAACGTGTGTATATATAGTTTAATATGTTTGTATTGACTTCAGAGAGGAAGAGAGAGGAGAGAGAAACGTCAATGCTGAGAGAGAATCATGGATCAGCTGCCTCCTGCACGCCCCAAACAACCAAAACTTGGTGGTTGTGAAAGCAAAGTTGTGCTCAAGCGTATTTCCCATTTTAGGACTGTATGAAGTGCTCCCATGAGCCTGCCCACAGCCTTACACGCGTGTGCGCGTATCTGATGGCAGACCGGCAGAAGCATAGCCTTCGAGGGGACACGACAGAGTCTGTGTAGGAGCCCCTCCCAGCAGCAGCCCCACTGGCCCTCTGCAGCCAGAGTGCTCCCGGCTCTTGATTTTCGTTAGATTTCTGTGGCCACAGGGCTGTGGAACCCTTCTGGTTACGACGGGAGCCTTTGATGTACGAGCAGAGGACATCTTGACTCTTGGTCTTCGTAGATTTCATTCTGAAGTGGACTAGGGGCATTCAAGGGCCTGGGCCTGTGGGTGGTAGGAAACAAGGGGCCCTGCGGCCCCAGGGGTCTGGTCCTGGTGCGTGAACGAGGTGGCCCCCGGCTGGCAGTCAGTGCTGGGTGTGTGGTCGCTGGTTTAGAGTCCTGACGGCCAAGCCAGGTTGGGGGCGGCTGTGCGGTCGGGTTCACCTGCAGGAGCAGCCCAGGTGCCGCTGACCGGGCCCTGGAGCCTGCAGGACCAGGGCCTGTCCCGTGGGCGCGGCTGTTCCTGGGCCGCGCCTGTCACTCGTGCGAGTTCTCCAGCCGGCCCTCGTCTCTGGGCTGTCCCTCAGTGAGATTATTTCAATTCTAAGATGGTCTTTTTGGGATTGTAACTGAAATGCCATTAAATCCATAAAATCATTGGGGAACACTACCTTTTTTAAATCCTCACCTGAGGATGTGTTTTTATTGATTTTTAGAGGAGAGGAGGGAGGAGAGAGAGAAACATCAATAAGTTGCCTCCTGTATGCGCTCTGACCAGGCATCGAATCCACAGCCTTTTTGGTTCATGAGATGCTCCAACCAACTGAGCCACCCAGCCACGGAGAGGAATGTTAACTTAAAAAAATATATATATATACACACACACACACACACACACACACACACACACACACATTATTGATTTCAGAAAGGAAGGGAGAGGGAGAGAGAGAAACATCAATGATGAGAGAGAATCATTGATTAGCTGCCTCCTGCACGCCCCCACTGGGGATCGAGACCGTAACCCGTGTATATGCCCCGACTGGGAATAGAACTCAATCACTGAGCAACACCAGCTGGGCCACCTTCTCATTCACATACCGTGTCCCTGGTGTAAGTAGTTTTATTAAGACCTTTTCTCTCTTCCAGAAGAAGGTATGTCAGTTTCTTTATATGGGCCACACTTACTTTCTTTAGAAAGTTAAACAGTCGCCTTTACGACAGTTCCCAGAGGTGACCTGTGTGGTGGTGGGATGCGCCTCCTTCCGTGTCTTTACGCAGGAATCTGTCTTCCTGGGCCAGCACTTCACACAGCCCACTGAGCACTGTAGCTGCTGTGGTAGCCTCTGTAGTCAGCGCTGGGGCCGTCCCCCACACAGTGCCTTGGCTGTGTGGTTGCAGTTCGGACCTCAGTGGCCAGGCCTGTTGTCTCCGGGGCCAGGCCTGACAGCTGTGGCCATGCGCGCGTCCTCACAATAGCAAGCCGTGTCTGGTGTGCATTGCTGTGTGTAACCGTAGCTTGTTTTCTCACTTCAAAGTTTTTATTAGCAATGGGTGCTGACTTTGTCGAGAACCTCTAAGATTCAAATATACCTGCACTCATGGTTCATATCTGTATATACACCTAAGCGACCATTTGAGCGGTAGCTGTGACCCGCACTGGCCACCAGGGGGCAGACGCTCAACACACAGGCATGGAAACATGGAACTGATGAATCTCAGAGGGAATGGGTGGAGAGGGTGGGAAGAGATTAACCAAAGATCATATATGCATACTAGAGGCCTGGTGCACAGATTCGTGCACCAGTGGGGTCTCTGAGCCTGGCCTGCGGGGATCGGGCCGAAACTGTCAGTCCAATATCCCCCGAGGGGTCCTGGATTGCGAGAGGGTGCAGGCCAGGCTGAGGGCCCCACCGGTGCATAGGCACCGGGCCTCTAGTGAAATCAAAAGCTGTGCTTTATTGATATTTTTTATAAGTTCACAACTTTTAGAAAGTTAAACAATAGGCTCAAACTAGGAATTATAGAGGAGAGGCAGAATCTCGTGTCATTTTCAGCATCCACAGATTTTACTCCTCATTGTGATCGCACAGTATGAGAAATGCTGAGTCGCACAGGGACGTGTCTGCCAGTGGCAGCCACTTGTATTAGTTGCTTTGCAATCTCAGTCTTTGGTTGAAATGGGTCAGGCCCGGATGAGTGAGCAGGTGGACAGTTTCTGGTCCTAGACCTCGTTGTGGACGGTCACCCCGCTGCTCCTGACCTCTCCCCAGCGGTGAGAGGGAGGCACCCCGCTCTGAGGACCAGACTGTAACCTCGTTCAGTGGGAAAACCTGGCAGCGGGAGGCTATATCCTTAGGCTTCACGGGTGTGACTGTTCACAAGCTTGGCTGTGTTGGCGCCCGGTGCTCCCCGCACACGCGAGGGGTTGCTAGGTGGGTGGTGCGGGGCCTGGGGCCTCCAGCAGGCGTTGAGGTGCTGTGGGTGGTGGCCTCTGGCTCCCCAGCTGGGGGCCTGTGGTTTCTCTCGTCTCTGGGCAGAGGTGCCCTGCCCCTCTAGTGTCGTGTCCCTGAAGGACAGTGGTGTCCCGGTCAGGCCATTGTCTTGGTGGGCTGTCCCTTCCAGGGGACATGTACCAGGAGCTTAGTGGCCGTGAGCCACCGCCGTGCGCCCTGCTCCTCTGCCAGGCCCTGCCTCGCCTTGCTCTTCTGGGCTGGGCGGCAGGCGGCTGGTGGAGAAGGACGCAGCCTGCGTCCTGCAGGGAAACGCGCAGCGAGGGGAGCCCCGACGCGGGCCTGTGCTCCAAGGGGCCCTCCTCGGTGACCACGTGCTCCCTGCGGACATGTTGCCTCCCCCGGGGGTTCCCTGAGTGGGAAGGTGACCTATGAAAAGGGGGAAGAAGGAGAAACAGGTGTGGCTGGTGCAGGGGGTGCGCTGCTGCCCGCGCAGGTGAGGGGCGGTGCTTCTCAGGGTGCTGGGCGCGCTGGCGGGCGTGGGCAGAGCAGGGGCGGCCTTGACGATGCCATCTGTCCCGGCTGCCCCGGAGCGGTGGCCGTGCCCAGATTGGTTTAGTTCAGGATTTTTAAATAGTAAATGATACCGTATGCTTTTGAAAATAGCTCACCCTTTCTGGCTAGAGTGTTAGTAACAGTCTCTCTAACGTGCTTAAAGGCAGCAGGCCCTCGCTGCACACCAGGTGCTCCTCAGCTCAGTCTGGCTTCACACATCTGTCCGAGCCTGTTGGCTGCCCCTGGAGACTGTGATGTCACGCCTTCTCCTGGAAGCCATTGGCTTCCTGGCTCATGGAGGGTGGAAATTGGATACTCAGCTTGATGAGGCCAGGAGGAAGGCTGATCTGTGTGTGTGGCCACTGTCCCCCAGGACAGGCGTGACAGTCACTGCTGCAATGGTCAGGGGACTGCCGAGCCCGAGCAGCCCTCCTGTGCCCTGGCAGCCTGTCCCCCGGGGCCTGAGACTCAGGACAGGGAGGGTGTGAGGGACAGAAGTGGGGCGCAGAAGTGGGGGGATGGCGGTGCCCTGTGCTAGCTGTACCGGCCCACGATAAGCTACGAGCTTCTTCCCGCCCCGATTGGCAGCCTCTCACCCACTTTGTGGGCAGTTGCAATAGCTGCCACTCCTGTGCTGTGCGCCAGATGCTGTCACACAGTGTGGCAGCACACACACTTCCAGAGGACATTCTGAGGCACAGAGAGGTGATTGGCAGGAGACGCTGGGTGTGCCCTGAAGTAAGTCGGAGCCTGTGCCACCTGGAGGCAGGTGTGTGCCTGACCAAGGAGAGGCTTCAGTGACAGACGAGTGGGAGATGGAAACGGAAGGGACTGTGGGGCAGCTGTCCCAGTTGGCCCTGTAGACATCTTTGTCTCTGCTGCAGCCGGAAGAGGGTCTCCTCATCGAGTGCAGACCCTGGGTGGTGCCAGGCTCTGGCCGGGCACCATAAGCTGCGGGTGGCACGGTCCCTGCGCCAGGCACTCAGGCTGCTGCCGCCCTCCTCCCAGGGCCGTTTTGTGGGTGGACCCGAGGATGCAGCTGTAGGGGCCCGGGGAGCAGCTTGGCCTACGTTGGCGGCCACAGCCTGGGCGCCCTGGGGCCTGAGTGTGGATGGAGAGGGCTCAGGTGCGCAGATACAGAAGCCCCTGTGGTCTCCCACGGGGCTTCACGGAGCCGGTGCAGGGGAACGGAGCATGCGTGATGGATTTGAGTGTCACGGGCCAGGAGGACAGGCTGTGGGTCAGGCGGCCTGAGGGAGCAGCGCCTGCCCGTTGCTGGGGCGAGGGGAGCAGTGAGGGGCTGAGTGGGAGGCAGTGGGCTTGGCAAAGGCTTCTTGGTGTTTGCTATTTTGTGCCGACACCTGTGGGCGCCGGGTGGTAGGTCCAGGCCATCGTTGACGTGGCACGTCCTCGCTGATCTTCAGGACGTGCTCAGGAACGGCAGGTCTTTGTAGAAGGCCACCTTCTACAGGGGAGAGGGCCTCCCTGCTCCACACCCCACCCCCAGATTCTCAGAGCCTGTGGGAATGGGCCTGGGAGACCCGCCCAGAGCTGGGGTGTCTGTTCCGGGTCCAGCTTTTGCTGCCTGTGCTTGTGTCTTGCCTATGAGGCCCCAGCCCCTGTGGCTCCGGGGGTGCAGCTCCTCCACCCACCCTGCTCTGGAGGGAAGGGCTGGGTGGGCTGCAGGCATCGGGAAGGGAAGTGGAGGGTGTGTTTTGTGCGCAGGGAAGACGGTGTGTGGGGGAGGGGGAGGTCAGACATGGCTGTTTGCTCTCTCCCTTCCCAGGCGTGTCCTGCCGGGCGGCTGTGCTCCCGTGCACCTTTCCTTCGGAGGCGACCCCCTGGGCTGCTGGACTCGGAGGCCCCAGCGCGCGTGTGCGGTGGCCCGAGCGCCGTGGGCCCCGGCCTCCGCGGGCCGGCTGGTCGCCCAGCCGCAGCTCCCGCCCGCGCGCTGCTGGCACTCCTCCCCCGCGCTGCGCGACGACTCGGTGGTGGAGAAGTCGCTCAAGTCCCTCAAGGACAAGAACAAGAAGCTGGAGGAGGGCGGGCCGGTGTACAGCCCCCCCGCGGAGGTGGTGGTGAAGAAGTCCCTGGGGCAGCGGGTGCTGGACGAGCTGAAGCACTACTACCACGGCTTCCGCCTGCTCTGGATCGACACCAAGATCGCGGCGCGCATGCTCTGGCGCATCCTCAACGGGCACAGCCTGACCCGCCGCGAGCGCAGGCAGGTAATGCGCACGCCCGCCCCGGGTGCCCGGTGCCGCGGGTCTGTCCTCTGGGCGCTGGTGCCGGGGTCCTCTGACTGCTTCTCCCGCCGACGGGGCCCTGTCTGCTGAGCTGCTGGTGGCCTGCCTTCCCGTCCCGTTGCTTCCCCGTGGTTGGGCTGCGCACCTCCTTCCAGGTGTTTGCATGGCTTGTGGGGTCTGTGCTCCCGGACCCTGTGTCTTTTATTTTGTGCTGATCCCAGGGGACAGGGGCAGCTCCAGCCCTCAGGGCCTAGGAGCCCGAGGACAGGCCCTGGCTGTCCTTCCCTGAAGGCTGACACCGAGGCTCCTCCGTGGGAAGAGGGGCCTTGGTCATGGCCGGGGGTTGCTTGTGGCCTGTGAGCACTGGCTTCTGGCTTTATGCGGCGCTCAGGGTTCCATGGACCACGTAGGAGTGTTTACTGGCTGGAGTCCAAGGGATGCTGGGAGAAGGGCACAGATGGGTACTTTGAAGAACAGTTGGATTAGAATTTCCCAGTTAGTGTTTACTGGACATGGGTTACACGCGCACTGCCTTTCGGGGACTCGCAAGATAAGGCTGTATGGTTCAGGTTCTCTTCTGCCCCTCCCTGCCCTGTTCTGCTGTGAAAGTTACAGGGTTTTTGCTACTTCGTTGAAGACAATATGTGCTGTTATGAAAAAAACAAAGCACACAGTTGACCCTAGCCGGGTTCAGCGGTTAGAGCATCGGCCCAAGGACTGGAGGGTTGCAGGTTTGATTCTGGTCAAGACACGTCCTCAGTTGCACCTGTAGGAGGAACCAATCAATGTCTCTCTCACATTGATGTTTCTAAAAATCACTGGAAAAATATCCGTGGGTGAGGATTAACACAACAAAATAAACAAAACGCAGCACCCACTTGACGGGCCTTTCCATGGCCAAATCTGGGACCATTTGAGCATAAAATAAAAACAAGAATGCATTGTAAACAAATGAAAAACGAATGTGCGGACAAGGCAGCAAAGCTGGTGAGCGGGAGGTGGGGTGAGTGAGGAAGTTGCTGCTTTGGGAGCATCAGTAGAGACGGGAAGCACCGTGGCTGCGTGACCTGGGAGAGAGGTGGGTGTCGGCCTGGCCTCCAGTGCCTCCACACAGCTCCCCCGGCCCTGCCCAGCAAGGGCAGCCCTCCCTCGGGAGCTGGTTCTTGGCGGGAGCACAGCACCCACACCCAGCAGCCGGGGTGTTTCTAGACGTGACCTCTCTCCCCAGAGGCCTGCTGGCCAGTCCATCGGGCGTGGGGCGAGGACATGGAGAGGCAGCCTTGGCCTCTCCGCCCACAGCCCTGTGAGTGGCAGCCGCGCTCGCCTGGCGGGGTTCTGACGACCCCCAGTGGCCTCGGGGGCGGGGGCGGGGGCAGTGTGTTTATGTTGGGGAAGCACTGGGTTTTCTGTAACGATCGCTGTGCAGTTCAGTGCTAAATCCAGCCCTTTCAGGAAGAGCCAGAGAAATGCACGGCCTTGGGGGTGGGGGGGGTGGCCACAGCCTCCCAGCAGCGACCCGTCCTCGTGGTTGCTCTCAACCGGCCAGGCCCGCCTGTGGGCAGCACTGTGTTTGCCGCAGCTGTTTCCCCAGAGCAGGACCCCAGGGTCCCGGCTTAGTGCCTCTGGGGCGGGTCCCGGAGGCCCCAGCGCTGGGTGCTGCTCCCAGCCAGCTCTCCTGCAGGCCCGGCCGAGAGGGACGGCCCGGGAGTTCCTGTGGGTCCCGGTGGCCTGGAGCTCCCGGCCTGTAGGACGTGCGCCGTGACCTCTGACCCCGCCACTCCTTGCAGTTCCTCCGCATCTGCGCAGACCTCTTCCGCCTGGTGCCCTTCCTGGTGTTCATCGTGGTGCCCTTTATGGAGTTCCTGCTGCCCGTCGTGGTGAAGCTGTTCCCCAACATGCTGCCGTCCACCTTCGAGACCCAGTCCATCAAGGTGAAGGCACCGCCCTGCTCGGGCTTCGGGGCGTCTTCCTTCACGGTGCCCCCCCCCCCTGGGGGGGGTCACCTTCTCTTAGACGTGTGTGCAACATGGTTGCTCCGGACCCGTGTCTTCAAGCTGGGCTGAGACCATTCGTGGGGTGGGATGCAGGCCAGCCCCCAGCTGTGCGGCCCTGCCTGCTTCGGTCAGTGAGGTCTTGTGGGGACATGTGCCCAGCCGGGTGTGGACTCTGCCAGCCCTGCTCTGGGTGGCACAGTGGGAGGCAGGAGCTGGAGGGGACGCTCCAGCCCCGCTCGTCGGGGAGGGTCTGGGCAGAGGATAGCGCCCGTCTCTGCCCCGCAGGAGGAGAGGCTGAAGAAGGAGCTGCGGGTCAAGCTGGAGCTGGCCAAGTTCCTCCAGGACACCATTGAGGAGATGGCCCTGAAGAACAAGGCGGCCACGGGCAGCGCCACCAAAGACTTCTCCTTGTTTTTCCAGAAGGTGCCCTGATGCTTCGGAGCCCCTGTGGCCTCAGCCCACTGTCCTTAGTGCTGGTTAGAGCCTCGGGCCACCTGTCTTCTCTGGGGAGTGGTCCTCATTGCCATCCTCCCTTTTTCTACTGTAGCAGCAGGGGGCGCTCCTGACCCCCCTTCCCAGGCAGGCGGGCGGACGGCAGCTGCTGCCCAGGGTCTATGGAGGTTCCCTCTGCACTCAGGTTGAACCTCAGTCCGAGAACTTGAACCCGCTGACATTCAGTTACTTGCCTCTGCCTCCAACTTTGCAGCAGCCCCAGGAGAGGGAGAGTTTGGCAAATGAGGAACCTAAGACCCTGCAGTGTGACGAGCGGGGGGTGGGCAGGGGAGAGGATGGACCACAGGCTGCTCCACAGCCTGCTCCACAGCCATGGCTGAGGTGGGGAGAGTGGCAGGGCCTCCTTGTCAGCAGGGGGAGGCCGGGCCTCTTCCAGTCGCCAGCCTACCCTCCGGGCTGGGCTGCCCTCGGGGTTGAGTCTTAGAGGCAATTCTGAGGTTGTGCCTGATAGGCCAGGCAGTCCACCTCCCCCAGCTCCCGGTCCTCCTCATTTCCTCACTTGGGGCTGGTGGCCCCTGGGCCTGGGAGGGGTGCTGTGCGCAGGTGTGTGTGTGTGCACACATGCCTGTGCATGCTCAGGGAACAGGCCCCCACCGTGAGTAACACTCAGCATTGCTCCTGCAGATCCGAGAGACCGGGGAGAGACCCAGCAATGAGGAAATCATTCGTTTCTCCAAACTGTTTGAGGACGAGCTGACCCTGGACAACCTCACGCGGCCGCAGCTGGTGGCGCTGTGCAAGCTGCTGGAGCTGCAGTCCATGGGCACCAACAACTTCCTGCGCTTCCAGCTCACCATGCGGCTCCGCTCCATCAAGGCGGACGACAAGGTGAGTGACGGCCTCGAGGTCGGGCCATCCTCGCAGCAGGGGTGGCATCGCTAGTGGTCTGTCAGCCTCGCGTCGCGGCTGTGCCCACCTGGTGGGCGCGTGGGTGCTGTCTGCTGGGATAAAGGGTCCTGGGATCGTGCCGTCCAAGTGACTTCCCACCTGGCGTGGCATCGGATCCTCCCGTGTTGCCTGGGCTCATTGGGAAGGTGCGTTCTGACGCCTGGCTGACGCTTCCTCTGATGAGCGCACTATAGCTTGTCCATTCCTGCAGCCAGTCTTCTGCTACCCAAACAGCACTCCAGTAAGTTTCTTTTTTTTAAGTACATATATTCTTACTGATTTGAGAGAGAGGAAGGGGGAGGGATAGAGAGATAGAAACATCTATTGGCTGCCTCCTGCACACCCCACACTGGGGATTGAGCCCGCACCCTGGGCCTGTGCCCTGACGAGACCAGACCTGAGCCTTGGTGTATCGGGGTGATGCTCTACCAACTGAGCTGCCCGGCCAGGGCATGGGTTGAATTGCTCTTAGACCCACTTCTGAGTTCCTCATTTCAATGCCAGGGTTTTTGTTTTTTTTTAAGATTTCATTTCTCACCTAAAGCTGTCCATCTTGCTGTCTGTTTTCTTGAACATGTTAGTCTTAGTTCACGTCTAATTCCAATAACAGTGTGAAACAGGTGTTCATTGTTTTCTCTCTGGGCTTGGCTTGTTGGTCGTATTTAGCTTTTTCAAATAGAGACCTTGTCTGAAGTGAGGTTCTGGGTGGTGTGGTCCTCCTCCAGGAGCCCCCACAAGGTCACCACCCCAGGGCTGGCCTGGCTTCTGGGGTGCCCTCTGCCTGGAGCTCCTATGGCACAGCCCGGGTGCCCGCCTGCTGCACAAGGCTCTGCCAGCTCCTCCCCGGTGCCCGCTTAGCGTGAGGCCCGACGCCAGGGGGTTCCTGCACTTTCTGCTCTCTGGACTGAGCCCCCGGACCCCCGCTGCTCCTTCTTAGCCTGGCAAGATGGCTGCCTCTTAGCAGTGGTCTCTGCCTGGACTCCGCCTGCTCCAAGTTGGCGTATGCCGCTGGGCCGGCGGCTCCCGGATGGCTAGCTCACTCCCTGGCAGCCTGGTCCAGCCCGGCCCACAGACTCTCACTGCCCTGAAGCCTGGTGGTCGCTCTCCCGTCTCCAGACGCGCCTGTGTCCTGTGGTCCCTGGCTTCTCCGGCTCCCGGGGCAGCTACCCTTCCCTGTCGTCCTGAGTGTGTGGGGGCGAGAGGAGCTCGGCTGCGGCCGCTGTGCGTCTCTCCCGGGAGGGTGTGCTCAGGGCACCGCTCTGCTGGAGAGCAGCGGGCGGGCCGTCCTGAGGCGCCATCTTCTCGGGAGGCGGCTCCAGGCAGGGAGCCGGGTGGAGTCCCTGCCACTCACCCGTCCTGTGACCTTGGACAAGTCATCCCACCGTGAAGTGCCTCAGATTCCCGCGACCTCCGCTGTCGATAGGGGGTGGGCCCTTTCCCTGGACAGGAAGCAGGAAGCATACCTGAGAGGGCTGTGGTGTGGGGGGGCCCTGGGACCCCAGGAACCACCGCGTGTCTTCATGCCTCATACCCCAGCCTTGGGCGACAGAAACACTGGCAAGTCCAGAGCCTGCTCTCGGCCAAGAACAGGACAGGCTTGCCCTGGGAGAGAAGACTCCATCCAGACACCCCAGGACACACTGGCCCCGCCCCGCGTCCATGGGTGGGTGTGAGACCTGCACCCACCTGACAGTCCTAGGACACTTCCTCCCCCTGCGGGAGGTGCGGTGGTGGAGGCCAGGCGGGGCATAACGCGGTCTCCTGCCTCCCAGCCGGGGAGCCGGGAAGCGTGCAGGACGGAAGCAGCACCGTGCCTGTCCCAGAATGCACCTGGGTGCAGCTTATGGGCTGGCTGATGCACAGAGAGATCGGTGCCCGTGAAGGGAGCCTGCTGTTCCAGGTTCCCTGGAAACGGCCACGGCGCCCCCGAACGGGAAGCAGCAGCAGGGGAGGCTGGAGGAAAGGGGCTGGGCCGTTGTCACTGGTGGGGTGGCCAGCTGGAGACGTTGGTTGGGCAGGAAGTGAAGCAGAGGTCGGGGTTTGTGGTTAAAGGGTTGAAAGGTGACTTTGTGCACCCACGAAAGCTGGGCTGCCAAGGACATGCAAATAGCTTGGGCCATCAACAGATGCCAGATAACCAATTGCAAAATCTATAAAGATGGTTAGAACAGCGCCCCTTACTCTCCCAGAGCCCTGTCAGGGGCAGCTAAGAGGACTGAAACGGGACCCAGTCTCATAACGTCATACTCCACACACCCGGGCTCCAATAGGAAGCTGCTCCTCATGCCCAGGTACAGTCCAGCATGGAAAACTCAGTGGTGGGCCCTCCAGTAGGATGGACAGGACAAAATACAGGCTCCGTGAACAAGGGAAGTTGTAGAATTTAACATGTGAACTACAAAGAGGACAGTGAGAAAGGGCCAGAGCCTCTGGGACCTGTGGGCTGTTGCAGAACTAAGATACGTCGTGGGGGCTCTGGGAAGAGAAGGGACAGGGTAGAGCTGGAAAAGTGCTCGAAGAAGTCATGGCTAGACACTTCCCCGAGTCCTTCAATTCTACGAATGTAAGCAACCGAGGGAACCGCGGACAGGACAGACCCAAAGCAACCCACAGCCTGCAGGACACGTCGCAGTCAAACTAATGAGCCTTCAAGGACGAAAGTAATGAGGGCGAACAGCATCTTGCCTGCAGGACAAAGACTACAGAATGTCAGCCCACAGTTCTGTGTCCAGCAGCATTCCCTGTTGGGCGAAGAGGAAGTCAGACCTCAGAAGAGGGAAAGCGACCGTGTGTTCCCAGCAGGCATGTCCTCGAAGACCCTGACGGGGGTTTTTGAAGCAGGAAGTGATGGGAGGGCCCTGGAAACCAGGAAGGAAACGTCAGATCAGTCCAGCAGGCTCTCCGCGCGTCTCCCGGATGACGTTTGACGGTCAAAGCACAAGTGATGGCGCCGTGGCGTGGGGCTCTCCGTGTGCGATTGGAAGAGGGCGCTTCCTCCGGTTCACCTGGACGGGGAGAGGACACGCGGCCGGACCGGTCACGCAGGTGTGGTGCCCGCGTGGCCACGGTGGGGGCTGGCTCAGGCAGCAAGGACACGCCTCGGTGGCCGGGCAGTGCGGCTCCTTAAAGTGCCGCTAGTGAAGGGCCTGTGCAGAAACAGCTGCCAGGCTCTGGGATTTTGTTTGTTTGAATATATTTTTTTAATGATTTCAGGGAGGAAGGGAGAGGGAGAAAGAGAAACATCAATGATGAGAGAATCATGGATCGGCTGCCTCCTGCACGCCCCCCACTAAGGATCAAGCCCACACCCAGTCCTGAGCCCTGACTGGGAATCGAACCGGGACCTCCTGGTTCATCTGGTTCATAGGTTGGCGCTCAACCACTGGCCCACACCAGCCGTGCTAGGCTGTTTTTGGAAATTCGAGCCCAGGTAGCCTCCAGGAGCCCTTGTTTAGTAGGTGTCTTATTTTCAGGGTCCACACACAGGAGGGCCACCCAGAAACACTAGAGAGGTCGCAGTGGGATCACGGAACCCCCAGGAGGATGGGGGCCGGAAGCAGGCACGCAGTTTCTTCCTGAGCACTGCATGCTGGGCAGGGCCAGGCGCCCTCAGTGGGCGAGTGTAACCAGGGCCGTGCTGGGCTGTGCTCCTTGGCACGGAAAGGCGAGTTGTTGATACTCTGGCAGCCTGTGTGAATGGTCTTCATGGAATCCCCGCAAGTTACATGGATCCTGTGTGCGCTTGTGCGTCGGATGCAGCGAAATGAAGGGCTGGCTGGGCGGGAGGTGGTGGGAGGGACGTGCTGTCACCTGGCTGTGATCTCGTTCTGCACTTGGGGTGATGTCACCATGGGGCCCGGATTTGGCAGGTTACCACCACCTGTCTCATCTCAGGATGAATGTTTAAGAAGATGGGGTGGGGGCGCCCCTGTCCCCCTCAGGATACTGCGAGTCGAGGTGGGGGGTGGGGACAGATCGGGAGCGCCTGTCGTTCTGTCTCTCCCCTCCCTCTCTCTCTCCCTCCCTCCCCGCTCTCCTCCCTCCCTCCTCTCCTCCCTCCCTCCTCCCTTGCACGGTGTCTTTGGCGCTGCATCCCATGTCCTTGTCTAGGGGACTCCTGCGTGCCCCTCTTCTCCCTCTGGCTGGGAGCGGTGGCTGAGGCTGTGAGACATCTTGGGAGCCTGTGGTCGCTCTGCTCTCTGCCCTTTCTCTTCTGTCCAGCAAACAGCAAGGCTCGGGTTGGGCTGGGTGGGCTGTGGGCAGGGACAGGTGCTGGGACCCTCCCCACGGGCCTGGGTGGAGGCGCCCTTCTTCCAGACTCCGGCCTTGGGGCTGGTCCTGGCTGTGTGCGCTCCCCAGGCCCTTCTTGGTCAGTTCCTGTCCCTGCAAACCCAGGCGGGGCCTTGGTAGGGCGTGTGTTACTTAGCAGAGCCTCTGAGGCCGTGGCTGACAAGGGGCACGTGGTTCCCAAGCAAGTGGCCATTAAGCCGGGAGCCTCTGGTGCCCTTTCAGAATGTTGACTTTCTTTTCCAGCTGATTGCAGAGGAGGGTGTGGACAGCCTCAACGTCAAAGAGTTGCAGGCGGCGTGTCGGGCACGAGGCATGCGGGCCCTGGGAGTCACAGAAGACCGCCTGCGGAACCAGCTGAAGCAGGTGCGTGCTCACGGCGGCTGGGCCAGGGGCATGGCCGCGGGCGTCAGTCCCGCTCAGGCTCCTGTGGGAAGTGTGGAGGAGACCTGCAAGTCCCGCGGGCTCATGGGCAGCGGCCGGGCCTCATGCGCGGGGCCTGCACAGGTGCCTGACTCGGTCTGTGGTGCCCGGCGCTCCCCATGTGCGGAGGCCGCGGTGGCTCCCAGGGCTGCAGTGCGGTCCTGTCCTGTCTGTCTGCTCCCGTCCTCTGGGCAGGTGAGCGCCGCGTTAGCTCTTGGAGACACGGGCATGTCTCACCGAGGCCAGGTTTTAGCGCACCGCCCTCCAGAGGCTCAGGGCGGCTCTGCCCTCCCCGGTGGGATCGGCCCTGGGAAAGGCGGCGCTCAGAGCGATTCGCCTGCCACATCGGAAGGTGGAGGGTGGAGAGCGTGAGGGCGCCCAGCGGCCCGCCTCCTGACCGCCATGCTGCGGCCCCTCCTAGGGGGTCAGTGCGTCCTCCAGATGGAGGCCAATGCGCAGCCACCGGTCCCGTCGCGCGATGTGCTCCGCGGCGGGCCCTGCCCTGTCCCTGCCGGGGGCCAGCGTGCACGCGGCGTTCCCGCCTCACGGAGCTCGCTTGGGCGTGCGGTCCAAGTGTTCTCGCCCCTCCCTCCTCTGGTTACTTACTCTCCTTCGCATTTCTCCCCGACCTTTGAGTTCCTTCTCATCTCATTTCTGTCTTGTGTCCAGTTTTGTCCAGAGATTGTCAGGGTCTCTTGTCGGTTTGATGTTGTCTTTTTGTCACTAGAATAGCTTCATGTGGTGCTGGCCACAGCAGGTGGGAACCCCCAGGCCACGGGCATTCACAAACACCACCGTCAGGGCCTGGTGCCATTTTGAAGCGAAGACTTGGCTGGCAGCGAATCTGTCCATCAGTGTTTGGCGCCTGGAGGCCTGTCTGCCGGACGCTAACTCAGGGTCCTCAGGCGTCTCGTGCCGCTGACCGGTGGGCATCGAGTCAGGAACCGAGGCAGTGAATCAGCCCCATCCACCCAAGTCCTGTGTGGCTGTTTCCCCGCCCCCTCTCTCCTCCTCCCCCACCAGATAGGGCAGCGGAGGGCCAGGTCTCATGTGTGGGTGGGCCGAGGCCGGCAGGTGAGGCCGGCAGGTGAGGCCAGGCCTTGACCTTCGATTGCAGTGGCTGGAGCTCCACCTGCAGCAGGAGATCCCCACATCGCTGCTCATCCTGTCCCGAGCCATGTACCTCCCAGACACCCTGTCGCCCGCCGACCAGCTCAAGTCCACGCTGCAGACCCTCCCCGAGATCGTGGTACGTGTGGCCGGGAGGACCTCCTGCCCTGTGCTCCAGGGGCCCCCTGGCTTCTGAGGGCAGGACCACAGGACACCATGCACAGCCGTGGGACCCTCGCGCCCACCACTCACCCCCTTCTGTCGGTCTGCAGTGAGGGCCTGTGAGACTCATGGGTGGCCTCGGGCCTCGTGACCCTGCAGCTGGGGCCCCGCAGTACGTCCTGTGCCCCCCAGGCCCGGGGGCTGACAGTCAGGGACAGGGGTGTGGGCCTCTGGGGGTGGCAGCCTACGGCTCACCCCAGGTGCGCCCTCTCTGCAGGCCAAGGAAGCGCAGGTGAAGGCGGCGGAGGTGGAGGGTGAGCAGGTGGACAACAAGGCGAAGCTGGAGGCCACGCTGCAGGAGGAGGCGGCCATCCGGCAGGAGCACCGGGAGGAGCGGCAGAGGCGCTCGGAGGCCGCGGTGAGTGCCGGGCGCTGGTGCCGCACGGCTCCTGCTGCACCTCTGCAGGCCCTGCCTTGGGGACGGGCCTGGGCTTGGGCCCTCCTTGCCTCCTGGGTGGCCGGCACGGTCGGGCAGGTGTGCTCGGGCCGCCCCGGGGCCAGCTTCGCCCGCCCAGGCTGTGCTCAGGACCCCGGCCCCGGGTGGGCTCCAGCTCCCACACGCGTCCCCACGCAGCTCCATGCCGGGGTCAGGAAAGGGCCGGAGGGTGGGAGAGGCTGGGCTGTGCCTGCCCCTGGTCACCAGGTCGCCTGCACTGAGACCGACGGAGGCAGGTCACGCTGCTGGGCGACCCGAGTCCACCGTCACGTCGCTGGCTGTTGAGTGTGCCCTCCGGCCGGCGGCATATCAGCGCGGCGTGGGCGCCTGGGGAAGGCCGTGGGTGGGTGGCACTGAGCAGCCCCGGCCTGTGTTTCAGAAGGAAGTGGCGCCCGAAGCGGTGGAAGCTGCCCCAGGGAGGCCCGTGGCCGAGCTGCAGCCGGAAGTGGTGGATGCGACCCTGCCGTCAGAGGCCCTGAAGGACACGGCCCCCGTCCTGGAGGGCGTGAAGGTGACCAGCGCCACGTCCACGACGGAGGGGAGCGGAGGGCGGCCTGTGCACCGCCTGAGACTCGCCCCACTGAGGGACCCCCTTCATCGGGGTCTTTGCTTTGCTTCCTTCCCAGGAAGAGGAGATCACCAAGGAGGAAATCGACATCCTCAGCGACGCCTGCTTGAAGCTGAAGGAGCAGAAGACGTCCCTGACCAAGGAGAAGGAGGAGCTGGAGCTGCTCAAGGAAGACGTGCAGGACTACAGCGAGGTGCGGGCCAGGGCTGAGGGTGCGGGCCTGAGGGTGCGGGGCTGAGGGTGCGGGCCTGAGGGTGCGGGGCTGAGGGTGCGGGCCTGAGGGTGCGGGGCTGAGGGTGCCGAGCTACAACGAGGTGCGGGGCTGAGGGTGTGGGCCTGAGGGTGCGGGGCTGAGGGTGCAGGGCGGGGGGCCTGTGGGATTTGCTCCTAAGACTATGGTTTCTTCCAGTTTCCAAAAACACCTCCATTGAATATCTGATAGGCCAAAGGGCCGTGTTATTACTACAGGCCCTTGGAGAGGAAGGGGGTCTGACCAAGTCCTCTTGAGGGACCCGGTGCAGCCCACCAGCTGCCTCTCCTGGCAGCGGCCGCCCTTGGTGTCTCCGCACCTGCAGGCGCCAGGTGGAGTCGGGGTGGTTCTGAGTGAAGTCTTATTCATTCCTGACTTTCTTTCATAGTCACTGATTTTGTTACTTATCAGTGTCACTTCCTAATGGGACTTAAAGGAGCCACGCTTTCACAGCTCTGCTGGGAAAATATGGCTGATTGGAGAGAGCAGGTTCCTCCTACACTCAGGCCCCCGCCACGCCCCTCCCCGAAGCTGGTGGGGGACATAAGGCGATGCTGATGCTCTGACTCTGATCTGTCACTCGCCACACACGCAGGGTGAGGTGCCAGACAGACTGCATCTCCTTTCTAGACAAGGGTGTCCAAGTCCACGGAGCCCAGAGCACGTGTGTGCTGGGCACGGCATGCGGTGCCGGTGTGAGTTAGTCACCGTGTAACCGCACGTAAGTGGTTAGGACAGTCCTTACACGGTGTGATCCCATCAGGACCTGCAAGAGATTAAGAAGGAGCTTTCGAAGACGGGCAAGGAGATGGAGGTGGAGGAGTCCAAAGCCAGCAAGAGGCTGACCAAGCGGGTGCAGCAGATGATTGGGCAGATCGACGAGCTGCTCACGCAGCTGGAGGCGGACCAGCAGGCTGGCAAGCTGGGCCCCACCGCCCCGGGCCTGCCCGCGGGGTGAGTGCAGCCGGACGCCGAGGACGGAGGGCTCGGGCTGCTGACCAGTGCGTGCACAGCCTGGTGCCCAGCTGCCCTGCCTTGACCCAGTGTTTTCGGCCAGAACCCCGCCTCCCGTCAGCCTCTTTTCTCCACGAGGCTGCCGTCAGCGCGCCATCCTCTGTCCCTGTGCGCCGCTGTCCGCCCTCCCCACCGCGGCCACCTCGCTCCAAGCACTCAGTAGTCACCCACGTGGGGTCCCAGCATGACTGCCCCCAGGTGGTGGCTGACCTCGCGCCCCGGGCCGGGCTCTGTGCTGTCCTGTCCTCGGGTGGAGACCCTTCCCCAGATGAGGGCAGCGTCCGCTCCTGGTTGACCTGCTGGGCTGTGTGGGCCCATCTGCCCTCACTGGTCCAAAGAGATCTCCCCACGTTTACGGGGCGGGGCTGTCCTGGGCGCCTTGTGACGGGTGCAGGCTGTCACATGCAGCTCTCCCTGTCCCCCTCCCCAGGGACACTGTCATCAGCGTCACCGAGCTCATCAGTGCCATGAAGCAAATCAAGCACATTCCAGAACACAAGCTCGTCAGCCTGGCCTCGGCCCTGGACGACAACAAGGACGGCAAGGTCAACATTAATGACCTGGTCAAGGTGGGTCTGAGGCCCTGGCAGGGCTGCTGCTGCGGTGGCTGGATGGGCAGACCCCGGGGAGGGGGGTGCGGGCAGTCCTAGGGGCCTGTATGGGGGACTTCTGAGGCCTGGGGGTGACCCTGAGGGACCACGGGGGTCCCTGGCACATGGAGCTTGGGCAGCCCGAGGCTGGAGCAGCCCTGCCGTCCCAAGGAAGCCCGCCAGTGCTACTTCTGCAGGAGCTTTCACGGGCTCTCCTGGTTCCCAGTCCAGCCAGTGCAGGGCTGGGGCTGACTTGGTCTCGTTGGGAATCGAGGGTTGCAGGAGCACGTTCGGAGCCCTCGCCTTGCCGGCTGCAGGGGCTGGAGGGCAAGTTCAGGCCCCCTGCCCCTTCCCTGGGGCCCTCGGGATGGACAGCAGCTCGGTGTCCGCACCCTGCACCCTGCCGGAGCCTCTGTCCAGGGCAGGCCTGGCCCGATGGACGCTCCCCGCAGCCTGGGCCCCGGGGAAGCACCGGGGCGGCGTGGGGCCGAGTGCTGGTTGAGGAAGCCGGCCCCGAGCCCTGTCCTTCCTGTGTGTGCAGGTGATCGAGCTGGTGGACAAGGCGGACATTCACATCTCCACCAGCCAGGTGGCCGAGATCGTGGCGACACTGGGGAAGGAGGAGAAGGTGGAGGAGAAGGAGAAGGCCAAGGAGAAGGCCGAGAAGGAGGCGGCCGAGGTGAAGGGGTAGCTGCCGCCGGCCCCTTCCTGCTGAGGCGATTCTATTAGTGACACGTCTAATATTTTGTCTGGAATAAATCAGGAACTTCCATCATCAAGCAATTTTTAATTTTCACCATTCCACGAAGAGCCAGTCAGCCTGGAATCCCCTGCCCCAGGGAGTCGTGTCTGCGTCCCTGCGTGGCCACGGGCCGGCTCACGTGGCTCGGGCCTGCGCCCGTGTGTGTCCTGGGAGGAGGCCCGGCCCGTGGGCCCTCGGCTCAGGACACTGGTCTGTGGACTTGGACGCCCGACTGTCGGGGCCACGCCAAGCGCTCTGTGGCCTGCGAACCACGCCTGAGGACCGCCACGCTCCTGGGGCCTCCGTCTGCCAGCTCTTCTCGATGCACCTTGGTTCTCACCTGACCCCTTACCAATTCGCCGTCTGCCTGACTCGGGCGTGACCCTAATGTAAATACGGCGTGGCCCACTGACGAAGCCTGGCTGTTTGCGTATTCATTGTGCTGGTGTGGCTTTTAGAAAGTTTACTAAGTGGGGTTGTGAGCACCACGCCCGGGGGCGATACCACTGCGCCCGCCCAGCGGCGGGCCTGGCCCTGGAGCCCCGGGCGCCACCCTGTCAGCCCTGCAGCCCCGGGGCCTCCAGGTGGCCATCATGCCAACTCCTGGCCCAGCTCCTTCCGAGACGCAGGCCGGTGGCCACTCCCAGGCTGTGGTGGGCACCCCTGGGGCTGGCGAAGGGCCCTGTGCAGCCTGGCACTCGGCAGTCTCAGTACCTGGCGCTCAGGCAGGTGTCTGCGTGGGGGTGGGCAGGGCCAGGTGGCCTGTGCCCTCAGCTCTGACCCACCCTTCAAGGCAAGACTGTCCTTTCGGGGAATCCAAGCGTAGGCGTGGCCAGACTCCCGGACGGACGGGCGGTCTCAGGAAGGAGCTGCTCAGTTAGCTGGGCCTTCCTCCCGGGTGCTGAGGAACTGACACGGCATAGGAGTAGCGTTTGTCTCCCCAGACGTCAGCCTTTGCACAGGACACGGGGCGCACGGTCTATCCCAGGGGTCCTCAAACTATGGCCCGCGGGCCACATGCAAATACAAATATTGTATTTGTTCCCGTTTCGTTTTTTTTACTTCAAAATAAGATATGTGCAGTGTGCATAGGAATTTGTTCATAGTTTTTTTTAAACAATAGTCCGGCCCTCCAGCGGTCTGAGGGACAGTGAACTGGCCCCTGTTTAGAAAGTTTGAGGACCCCTGGTCTATCCCATCGGTGTGTGCACTGCGCTCTGTGCCCCGTGGTGCTAAGGGTTGCCTCACGCATTCCCGTGGCCTGGCTTTCAGCTGTGACCTGCACTTGAATGATAGCTGGCCAGTGGCCAGGGACGGTGGCTGTCCTTCTGGTGAGCAGTCCCATGGGGCCGTCCGCCGCACCCGGCTCCTCCGTCCTCACCACCTCGCCAGGCCTGAGTGCCCTCCGCTGCCATCACCCTCCTGGGTGGCCTGCAGCTTTGGAGAAAGCGTGCCCCCCCCACCCCCCGCAGGGCTCTGTGCGTGCACTGGGCGCGGGCTGCTAGCGGAGCCTCCGCTTCTGAGGTGGGGTCTGCTCTGGGCTCCCCTGGCGTTTGTGTGGCTTTCACTGTCCTGGATTTACTCGCTGCCGCTGAAACCCGTGCTCAGACGCAGGCAGAGCACGTGGTGGGCCTAGAAATGGGAGTCGCGGTGGCTAAGGGGGCTGTTGGCCCTGCCCTGGCGCTGCGCCCCCCACACTATCGGAGCGTCACAGAATTTTCACGTGTGTCCTTGGTCACTGGAGTCTCACCGTCAGGATTCGTCAGCCCCGTGGGGCCGTCCCTGAGCCGGCGTTCTCACTGCGGCCCCAGCCTGTACACTGGCTCTGCCCACGTGTCCAGGGCCCGGCTTCACACGTGTCGTCACCTTTCTTGGAATCATGTTTTTATGAAAACGTCGAGTTGATGTTCCTGTAACAGCTCAGAGGAGGATGTCACGATGTCTCGATTGTCCGCTGGCGGCAGCTGCGCGGCCGGTTGCTCTGCCTCACCCTCTGCACAGGAGGGGCACGACCTCGCCTGCCGGCGCCAGCCCAGCGCTGGGTGTCCCCTGCTGTGGCAGGCGCGCTGCCGCCCGTCACCCTGTGCCCAGACGGTCCCTGTGCTGGGACCAGGCGCCTGTCTGCTGTAAGGACGGGATTCAATAAAGCGCTGCCTTGGTGACCTGTGGCCCCTCAGTGATGGATCTGTCCAGGTCGGGAGGCTCACTGCCTGCCCAGCCCTCCCCCATCTGCCCCCAGTGGATGCCTCCAACCTGGGGTCACTCAGGACAGCACAGCTCTGTTCTGTAAGACCGAGGCCCCCTGTGCACTGGGCCCACTGCCTGGGGGGCTTCCTGGAGGAGGCGGGTGCGTCTCACCACAGCCTGCTCCCCAGGGCCGTGGGCAGGGGGCTTCCCCTGGGTGGAGAGCAGGCCTGCCGGGGAGGGCGCCCACAGAAGGCACAGGTGGTCTCCTCCACCCTCCCAGCCCCTTGGTGGATAGGACCCCCACCACCCCAAGATGTCCAGTCTATCTTGGGGGGCCTCCCCCCTGCACTGGTACCAGGCTCCTTGGGGGACCAAACGGGCTCCCTGTCTGAGGGCCACCCTCCCGAGACCCGCTGTGGCCTCAGCCCTCCCCTTCCCCCTGCCTGGCCTCTGGGCCAGAGGTGCCCCCCAGCCTCATCAGTGCTCCCAGCAGGTACCCAGACCCTTGGTGCTGTGGGTCCTTCCTCAGGCGGACCCTGGGAATCCAGACAGGCCTGTGAGCCTGGGGCAGGCAGGGCTGGACCTGTGCTGGTACAGCGGGCGCCGGGACACGAGGCCTGGGCTGGAGCCCTGGGCAGCACCGGGCTCTGTCCTTGCCCTTCTCAGGAGGACACTAGAAGCACTGGGGCGGCAGGAATGCTGGGCCCGTCCTGCCCTGCAGGCCTCGGGCGCTGGGGCAGGACCAGGGCCTGGTGCACATTGCAGCCCCCCAGCAGGAAAAAGGGGGAGCTGTTCCAGACCAGACACTGGTGGGTCCTGGGGGGATGTGCACCTAGTTCCGGGGTGCCTCCTGGAACCTGAGCAGCAGCGTCCCTGTCTGTTCCCACACCCGCCCACTCGGCCGGGGAGGAGGTGAGCCCGGCGGGTGGGGCGGCCGGAGGACGAGGGGCAGGGCCTGAGATGGAGCTGGGCTGGTGGGTTCAGTTAGGTCAGGGGAGGCACGGATGCAGGAGCCATCTGTGCCCGCCTGTCTGGCGTCTGGAGCCGGCCAGTGCCACGCTGAGGTCTCCACCGGCTTCCCAGGAGGCCCCTGGTGCCCGAGCAGGAGAGGGACGGACCGGGCGCAGCGAGGACGCTAGAGGGCGCCCCGGCCGCGCTGTCCTGGCCTCCTTCGCCTCCCGCCCTGCCGCCTCGTCCTGACCCGGGTGCTCTGGGTGCAAACACGACTGGGGGTCTGGAGGGCCGGGCGCTTCCCTGAGTGGCATCAGTGTATCAGCCACACCCGCTGCCTGGAACCCAGGACAGCAGAAGGGGCCGCGAGTTTCTGAGAAGCCAGAGTGGAAGTCCACACAGCCCTGTAGCTCTCCCCCAACTCCAAGATAGCAGGAGGGGAGACAGGAAGGACCGACATGGGTTACCAACGGGTGGGGGCAGCCCGGAGTGCTGGGCCAGGACCTGTGGAGGGCTGCATGCCACCGTCCCCGAACCCACCCGTCTCCCACGTGTGGGCACTGCTGCCTCCTCCAGGAAGCCTTCCTAAGCGTGCCCCATTGCTACCACTTGGGTGCCCTGTGGTGTCCTCTCCTGCCCAGTCAGGTGTGGGGGCGCAGGAGCGCAGGTGGAGCTGGCTGGGAGGGCAGCAGCCCTGGTGGGGGGGCAGGAAGCCAGCCAGGAGCAGGAGTGTGGCCACTAGTGCAGTCTGGGGGCTCCTTGGGGGCCCCTCCTAGAAACCTGCCCCTGCCCAGCTGACAGGGGAGGTGGATGCCAGGGGTTAGGGTGCAGAGGGGGGACCTCAGAACCGGGTGCGGGTGTCTGGACGTAACCCCCCCTTAGCCCACCTGGACTCCAGGAGCTGGGCCCGCCCACCCCCATGGTGGCCTCCCTGTCCCCTCCCACGGACACCGGGCTGTCTGCACTTCCTGCCACTGGGGACCCGAGACCCGGGCCATGGAGACCCTCAGGGATACAGAGGCTTTGCCCTGCCAGGCTCCACGCAGCTGGGCACACGGACCCCGCCCCCAGGCCTTGCCCAGGACGCCCTACCCCAGCCAGAGCCCTGTGCCGGGACCTCCAGGGATGTCCGCCTGGGCCTCCTCCCCCAGCACGCGCTGTTCCTGCAACAGTGGGCCACCCCTCCCTCCTCAGGGGCCGGCGACAGGGCGGCGAGGGCAGGAGACCGGAAGGCCTGCGGCAGAGGCTGAACGGAATCTTTGTTTATTTCTGGGAAGCGCGTTTGCCAGTTTGGGGCGACACCTTTGGCCCCCACAAGGCAGGGGGCCGAGAACAAACCACCCCAGCCCTGTGGGGCTCGCCGGCTGACACGTGGGGCGCAAGCATGACGGGAAGTGAACTCACGCGTCCCCCCCCAGCTCCGAAAGGCAGCCCAGGCTATAAAGGCTAAAGCATTGCGTCAGAAGTGTTAAATCTACAGCAAATACATCTTGTAAAAACTCAATAAATTATATATATAGATATATATAAACTTGTAACATCTAAGAACATCTGAGCCTGGTGCAGGGCTGGCCCACGGCGCACGGCCTCCCGCCCGGCACACGGCAACGGGAACGTGTATGAAAATACCAGCTTGCTTTGAAGTCCAAAAAAATAAATCTCCTACAGAAAAGTCCTAGATAATCGAATCCCCTGCGAAAGGCCAGGGGAAGCCCTATCCTCCCCAGAGGCCCCCACACCACTCGCCACCTCTGGGTGTGAGGGGCTGCTCCGGCCTGGGGTGCGGGCAGGGGGGGTGTGCCCAGAGCTGGGTACCCCCGCCCAGCGGCCCCGCTAAACAAAGCACAAACCCTCTCAGCTGTTAATAAGTTAAGACTGAAGCCGCCGCCAACGTGGGGCGGGCCGAACACTACAGCTTTGGGGGTGGGGAGAAGGGACGGGGTCGGGGGCCCATAAATAGCTTTACGAACACACGGGTCCAGGTACAATTTTTAAAACAAAACTGCTGCCGGGTCGCCTCCACTCGGCGGTTTCCGGTGTCTCGCCCACAGGGGCCTCCCACCCCAGCCCCGGGGCCCGTGCTGCCGATGTGCCCGCCTTCTTCCATGTGGATACTACATACACGCGCGTGTCACACGGCGTCTAGAGAAATGGACACTCGTCTGGAGTAACCCTTTCGGATAGAAGTTAAAGGCTCCCGCCTTCGGTACCCGTAATCTCAGTCTCGGAGGGACAGGGTGGGAGGTGGGGCCTGGGGGGCGGGCGTGTGCGAACACTCACCCCAGGCGCAAGGTGCCGCGTGGGTGGGGGGCTCGCCGCACGGGCGTCCCTGCAGGCTCAGCTCAGGCACCCGAGGACGCCGGAGCCCAGAGCCGCTCCCCTCGGGGTGACAGGGAGGGATGGGGGCAGGGAGGCCCACGGGGAGCCCTTACATTCTCACTCGGTCCCCCTGGCACCGCCAGCACAGGTGCCAGGAGGTCATGGTACAGCAGGGCGGGCACCCAGGGACCCCTGCACGGGGACCCGGAGACTCTCACACGCGTGTGCTCACGCACGCGCGCGCACGCACACACACACGCACGCACACACACACACACGCACACAGTTGTCTATCTGTCCATCCGTCCATTGGTGCCAGGTCTTGAGCCTGGGCCGCGGGGCCGTGGTGGCCGGCGGCACACCCACAGCAGCGTGGCGGGCTGGGAACCACTCTCACATTGGGGGGGGCTTGGCCGGAGGGCGGGGACCCTTCACGTCTGCAGGCCCCCGCTGCTGGGAGGGGCGGGGGGCAGGAGGTCGTGGGCGAACACGGAGTCGTCCCCTGAGGAGCCGGAGCTGGGGGTGTCCTGGCCGCCGGGCGAGTACTGCTCGAAGGGCACCGACAGGTCCAGGTACTCCTGCGGGCGGGCGGGCGGGGTCACAGGCTGCACCCTCCCCCCTCCCCCCTCCCCCCCTCCAGGGGCTGCCCGCGCGGGGGAGGAGCAGCACTCACGTCGGTGGACGTCACCGTGAGGATGCGGTCCAGGTCCTCCACCAGCTGCTTGAAGGTGGGCCTCTGGGAGGGCACAGCGTGCCAGCACTCCCGCATGACCATGTACCTGCGGGGCAGGCGGTGAGCGCCCGCCGGCCAGGGTCCCGCCGCCCCCCGGCCCCGCGGAACCGCCACCAGGGCCCGGCACAGGGCCGCGGGGGTGGGGGTGGGGGGGCACTCACAGCTCGTGGGTGCAGTTGGCCGGCTTGTCCATGCGGTGCCCCTCTTTCAGCAGCTTGAACAGCTCCTCCACGGGGATGCCGGGGTACGGCGAGCCCCCCAGGGTGAAGATCTCCCAGAGCAGGACCCCGAAGGACCAGCTGGGGGGACACAGCACACAGGCTCCCACCTGCCCCGGAGCAGGCCCACGGGACGGACGTGGCACTCGGCTGGTCGGGCCAAGGCGGAGGCACGAGGCCCGCGAGGCCGTGGGGTTCCAGCTGGGGACCCAGCTTCACCCTGGAGCTCCCGTCGCCCCACCCTGGGCCGGGCCCCTCACAGCTCCCACCCCGACCTGAGTCCTGAGGCCACGTACACATCGCTCTGGTGGGTGTAGACGCGGTCGAACAGGGCCTCGGGCGCCATCCACTTCACGGGCAGCCGGCCCTGCGGGGAGGGAGCCGCACGTTGCACGGGCGCCCCCGGCGGCAGCTTCCCCTCCCCCGCCCGCCCGCCCCCGCCCGGGCCCGGCTCACGTTGGTGGTCTTCTTGTAATAGTCCAGGTTGTGCACGTCGCGGGCCAGGCCGAAGTCCGCGATCTTCATCACGTTGTCCTCCGTCACCAGCACGTTGCGGGCGGCCAGGTCCCTGTGGATGCACTGGGGACGGGGCCGGGGCTGAGGCTGAGGCCACCGCCGGCCGCTCCCGTGGGTCCGTTCCGGACCCCGGACCCCGCCTCCCCCTCCTCACCTTCTGGGAGGCCAGGTACTCCATGCCCCGGGCCACCTGGTAGGCGCAGGACACCAGGTCCTTGCAGGTGAGCTGCTCCTCGGGCAGCTGGCAGGTGTCGAAGGAGTAGTCGGTGCCCGGGGGCCGCCGCGCCCGCAGGTACTCCCGCAGATTGCCTTTGGCCGCGTACTCCACCAGCACATACAGGGGCCCTGCGGGCACAGGGGCCTCAGGGGGGCACCGCCTGCGCACCCACTGCCCTCTGTGCACCCACCGCCCTGTGTGCGCCCACCACCCTGTGTGCACCCACCGCCCTGCATGCACCCACCGCCCTCACCGCCCTCTGTGCGTCCACCGCCCTGCATGCACCCACCGCCCTGCGCGCACCCACTGCCCTGTGCGCGCCCACCGCCCTCTGCGCGCCCACCGCCCTGCGTGCGCCCACCGCCCTCTGCGCGCCCACCGCCCTGCGTGCACCCACCGCCCTGCGTGCAGGCACCCAGCAGGTTGATGATGTTCTTGTGCTTCCCGATCATCTTCATCATCTCCATCTCGGACACCAGGTCGGAGAGGTCCTTGTCGGTGGCGTCGTCTGTGCAGACAGAGGGCACGTGGGACAGTGCAGCCGCCGCCGGCCGCTCCCCGCGCACCTCACTTCACTCACCTTTCAGCATCTTCACGGCCACCGTGACGGGCTTGGTGGTCCGGTCCTTGTCGATGCCGATGGCCTCCGCCATGACCACCTGACCGAAGCAGCCCTCGCCCAGGGGCTTGCCCAGGGTCAGCCTGGTGGCAGGGGCAGAGGTAATGAGTCCCAGTGCCAAGCCCTCCACACCTGCCCCCAAGACCTGCTCCTGAGGATGAAGTCCCTGACCCCCCCGCCCCCCCCCCGGCCGCCGCGCCCTCCAGACAGAGCTCATCCTGCCCCCACCTCACGGGCACCTCCCCGCGGCCCAGCCTCCTCCTCCAACCTCACACCCAACAGTGGCCTCAGCTCCTGCTCGACGCCCATCTGAATCCAGTCAGGTCTCTGCATGGCGGCCCCCCCCCTCGTCAGGGCCCCCGCACACGGCGTCCGTCCCAGCACTGACCGGGCCCGGGGCAGCTCCCACTTGGGGTCGGCGGGCAGCTCCAGCTCGGAGACGTTGGCCAGCGCGGGGCCCTCGCCGGACGACAGCCGGGCGATGCGCACGAGGGGCGTGTTGGAGTTCATGGACGAGTTGGACTCCAAGGACACCTGCTTGGGTCGGCAGGGCAGGTCGGTGCCGCGGGGCCGCGCTGGGTGGGGTGCAGTCCCAGGGCCTCCCACACGGCTGGGCGTCCCCGCGCCCAGGAGCCCGGGGGGTGGTCGTGGGGGGTTGGCGAGCCGGGCGGGCGGGCGGCTTGGAACCGGGTATCTCCTTTGTTACCTGTCGCTTGAGCGGGAAGCGGGAGACCTTGTGCACGGCGGGCGCCAGGCCCTTCTTGGGGGGGCTGCGCAGGCGGCAGAGCGTCACGGCGGCCACCACCAGGACGAAGAGCAGGAAGCCCACGCCGTAGCTGAGGACGCCCGCGTACACGCTGCCCGCCTCGCCGGCCTCCACCAGCTCCTCCTCGGCTGCAAAGACACGGGCGTTGGGGCCTGGCCCGGCCGCACCGCAGCCCCACGGCCCACGGCCACGGGAGCCACAGGCGCAGTGGGGGCTGGGGAGGAGGCGCGGCCCCAGGTGGTTGCCGAGGCCACGGTGCCCCACGCGGTGGGGTCTGGGGTCAGAAGTGCCCGAGAGAAGGAGCGCAAGTGGAGCCACAGCACCCACACCCGCCACCAGGGAGACGCCAAAGCCGCCGCCAGGCTCCGGGGCCCCGCTGGGCGTGGGGGCTCAATGGAGGCCCCTCTGGGCCAGGACAGGGCCGGGTCGACTTTTTATTTTAAATATTTTTATTGATTTAGAGAGGAAGGGAGAGGGAGAGAGAGAAACATCCATGATGACAGAGAATCGTGGATCGACTGCCTCCTGCACGCCCCCCACACTGGGGATCGAGCCTGCAACCAGGCATGTGCCCTGACGGGGAATCAAACCCTGAACGCTCTATCCACTGAGCCAAACCGGCCGGGGCCCAGGTTGACTGACCCCAACCCAGGCACAGGGCGTGGCGTGGAGCCGGGCGGACGTGAGCCTCAGGACCCCCGGCCGGTCCCTGGCGGCTTTGGCATGTCCCGAGCCAGCGCCCCGAGAAAGGTGCAGCAGCAGCAGGAGCCGGTACCTGGCAGCACCACCAGCCACGCAGAGTGATGGGAAAACCCGATAGAATTGCCCGCCAGACACGTGTACTCCCCCGCGTCCTCAAAGGTGACATTGCGCAAGGACAGCACCTCTAGCTCCTTGTCGGTGGTGTTAGCGCCTGCCGTCTACGAAGAGAGAAAGAGCGCTAGGCCGTGCCAGCACCCCCCGCGGCACGGAGCCAGCGTCCACCAGCGACGGTCCCACCAGGCTGCAAAGGAAACGCCGCCACCACCACGGCCACGGCCACCACCACGGCCACGGCGGCCGAGGGTCCTCCGCCTTGTGCGTCCACACTGAGCCCGAAGCCAGTCCCTTCACCGGCGAGTCCTCTGTCCCAGTGAGCGCCAGGCGTGCGGCCAGCGGGGCGGCCAGCAGCGTGCGGGGTTAGCGTGGACACTGGGCGGGGGTGGGAGGACAGGCAGGTGGCAGAGGGACAGACAGACCAACGGGAAGTGAGCAGGCAGCGGAGCAGGGGGCCAGGGAGATGGGAGGAAAGCAGGTGCCCACAGACGGAGGGCATGGCCCTGCCAGGCTGAGGGCCTTCTGTGGGTGGCACAGGCGCAGGCAGGGGCCGCGGGCCATGGCTCCAGGCAGGCAGGTGTCACACGGAGGCACAGGCACCGGCTTGCAGAGGTGACCGCATGTGCAGCGAGCGGGTGGCAGGGTGGGGAGCGAGCAGGGCGGGGCGTGCGGCGGGCGCGGGGCCAAGGCGTCGGAGCTGGAGCTCGGCGTGCCAGGCAGGCGTGGGACAGAGTCGTTACCTGCTCGGGGCCCGTGAACACGCAGCCAAAAGGCCTTCTCAGACACGCCTATGAAATTGGAGGCTCGACAGAGGTACTCGCCCCCGTCGTGCTCGGACACATTGGCCAGGCGGAGGCGCGCGTCGGCCTCCACAGTCTCACTGATCCAGGACTGCGGGGACAAGAGACCCGGCTCAGCGGGGCCCGCGGGCCGGCCGGGCGCCAGGTGCTGCCCAGGAGTGGCCCCGTCCAGGTCGAGACCCGTGGGAGGGCAGCCTCAGATCCTGAGACTCCAAGGCAGGATGTGGAGACCCCCAAGGAATGACTGGGGCTGTGCCAGCCTGGAGGGCTGCCTGGAGGAGGCGTGTAGGCAATAGATTGTGGTTTCACAGGATGCACCTTCTGGGCATCCTCCCTCCCCAACATGGAGCATGGGCCTGGCAGGCTCCCCAAGAGGCCCTCGGGGTGGGGGGGTGCCCGCCCCGTCCCCCTGGAGCCCGGCTAGGCCCGTGGTGACGCCGCAGACAGCTCACACGCTGACCAGGGCGCAGGCACCACCAGGCGGGGCCCAGCATCCTCAGCCTGAGCCTGAGCTCCCCACCCCCATCAGCCTGTCTCGTCTCTGAAACAGATGTTTCTCTTTGGGCTGCGAGTGTCGCAACCATCCGACCGGGTGGCCCCCACCCTGGGGCCATGGGAACCCCGCTGAGGCTGTCCTGCCCCCAGGCCCCGGGAGGCCGGCTGGGTGGCGAGCTGACTGCACACAAACGCCGCCGCCCAATCGCCACCCCCGCCCCAACTCAGGGGGCCCCCGCCTGGCCTGCCAGCGGTGCTGGGTGAACTCGGCTGCGCCTGGCCGGCTGGGGCCCTGGGGCCGAGCCCACGCAGGAGGCTTCCCCGAGCGCGAGGGGGAAATGGAGGACACACTGGGATCGAGCTGAGACTCAGCCGTCTCCGGCCGGGCCCAGCGGAGCCCTGCAGGGGGTCCCGCCCGTCTCTGCCCCGCCCAGGGCGGCGCCCACCTTGAGCACGGTGACGTAGGGCGTGCCGTCGGGCCCCACTCGGCTGCCGTTCACCTCCACGTGCTTCAGCCACTGGATGTGGGGCTGCGCATCGCTGTACACCTTGCAGTGGAACTCCACGTCGCTGCCCAGCACGGCCGTCTGGTTGGCCGGCAGCCCCGCCTGCAGGATGGGCCGGTGCGGGGAGCGCTCTGCGGACAGACGGGCGGGGCGCGCGGGGCTTAGGGACGGCCCGGCCCGCCCCCCCCGCCCCCAACACCCGACCACCCGGGCCTCACCCAGCACATCCAGCGTGTAGGTCTGCCGGATGCTGCCCAGCCTGTTCTGCACGACGCACGTGTAGTTGCCGCGGTCCGAGGGCACCACGCTCTCCATGACCAGGCTCCACTGCTGGTGGCGCAGCTGCGGGCAGATGTAGGGGTGAGCGGGCGGATGGGGGTGAGCGGGCAGACGGAGGGGGGGGTGAGCGGGCAGACGGGGGGGTGAGTGGGCAGATGGGGGGGTGAGCGGGCAGACGGGGGGGGGTGAGCGGGTAGATGGGGGGGTGAGCGGGCAGACGGGGGGGTGAGTGGGCAGACGGGGGGGTGAGTGGGCAGATGGGGGGGTGAGTGGGCAGAAGGGGGGGTGAGCGGGCAGATGGGGGGTGAGCGGGCAGATGGGGGGTGAGCGGGCAGACGGGGGGTGAGGAGCGGTTAGATGGGGGGGTGAGGAGCGGGCAGAAGGGGGGTGAGCTGGCAGATGGGGGGGCAAGCGGGCAGATGGGGGGCGAGCGGGCAGATGGGGTGAGCGGGCAGATAGGGGGGCGAGCGGGCAGATGGGTGCGTGAGTGGGCAGATGGGGGGGTGAGCGGGCAGACGGGGGGGTGAGTGGGCAGACGGTGTGAGTGGGCAGAAGGGGGGTGAGCGGGCAGACGGGGGGGTGAGTGGGCAGATGGGGGGGTGAGTGGGCAGACGGGGGGATGAGTGGGCAGACGGGGGGTGAGCGGGCAGACGGGGGGTGAGGAGCGGGCAGATGGGGGGGTGAGCGGGCAGACGGGGGGTGAGCGGGCAGACGGGGGGTGAGGAGCGGGCAGATGGGGGGGTGAGGAGCGGGCAGAAGGGGGGTAAGCTGGCAGATGGGGGGGCGAGCGGGCAGAGGGGGGGTGAGCGGGCAGCGGCGAGGCCTCGGAGTGCGGGGTCCGCCCACCACTGGCGCCCACCTTGATGCCCCCGATGCGGTGCTCCCCGCGGAACTCCTTGCCGTTCTTCAGCCAAGAGATGGACGGCGTGGGGTTGCCGGCCGCCGGGCAGCGGAAGCGCACGGTGTTGGCGGCGGGCACGGCCAGCAGCTTCTTCTCCATCCGCTCAGGCCGCGTCCAGTAAGGGGCCCCTGCTGGCGAGGGGCCCGCGGAGTCCATGACCCGCGTGGGGGGCCCAGCAGGTGGGACACCCCCTCCCGGCGACAACGCCAGGCCCACTCCCTGTCCACGCCCCCCGGCGCCTTCTTTCTTTGTAAAAAGCTTGTTTTGTTTCTCATTTATTTTACTTTTTGTTATTCCTCATCCAAGGATAATTTTCCATTTATTTTTAGAGGGAGTGGAAGGGAGGGTGCAAGAGGGAGAGAGACACTGATGTGAGAGAAACACATCGGTTGGTTGCCTCCTGCACACGCCCAACCATGGCCCAGAGTCGCACCCAGGACCCTCCGTCCGAGGGCAGACGCTCCCTCCACTGAGCCGCACCGGCCAGGACCCCAGGGTGCTTTCTGACAGGAGGCGTCTCCTTGGGGAGCACCCACACCCAGTTGGCGGGGGCACAGTGCCCCTCGAGCCAGAGCTTGGAGGCACTCGGGTGCTGCTGAGTCTGCGAGCCCTGAGCCACCTCTGCAGCAAGCGCTCAGGCCTGAGGGCGGCGGGAGGGACAGACAGCAGGAGGGACAGACAGCAGGAGGGACAGGAGGAGGGGACAGGGTACCAGGAGGCCCCGCCCACTCTCACCCCCGGAGCCCGACTGGTTTTTCTCCTTCTCTTGGGCCGGGTGGGGGAGCCTTCCTGCAGTTTGGAGGCTGGGTGGGCGGGGGTTGGGATGGGGTGTCCCCAGGGGGGGGCACCCTCCCCACAAGCTGCCCCCCCAGACAGCCACCTCACAGAGGGCTGAGGCCAGGTGGGGCAGTTTAAACAAATGCTGGGAAGAGGAGCCGTCTGGGGTCCAGGGTCTGAGGGGCAGGAACCGGGGGGGCCAGTGGCGGTGACTTCCTCTGGGGGGCAGCCCTGCGCGGCCCTCAGCGTCCCGGGGCCCAGAGGACACCAGGCCCCGCCCGAGGTGGCCGGGACGGCGGGGCACTGGGAGCGTGAGGGCGGGAGAGGGCAGGGGCCACCTCAGGGGTCACCAGGGGACACCTGCATCTCAGACCCCCAGGCCTCTCCTCTGGGTCCTCACCTCCTTGCCCCCTGGACCCCAGCGGCCCCCCACGCTGGGCAAAGCCACCTGCCACGCCCAGGCCAGCACCTCCGGTCGCGCACCCCCCGTCGGGGGTGACAACACCCCTTCCCAGGAAAGGCGCCTGCACCTGGCATGCGGCGCCCTGGCCACCGTACCCTCTACGTGGACTGTTTGGGCCGCCCCCCCACTGCCCTCAAGCCCCCAGCCCCGGCCCCCGGCTGCCACCTGAACCCCCGCCTGCTGAACTAACACCCAGAGCGGACCCTCCACACAGGCCTCACACCCCAGCCTCCTCATCCGCAACCCTGTGTCCCCCAAGCCAGCCTCCCCCCGAGCTCAGGGCAGACACCAGGGCCACCCCACAGGGAGGGGAGCCCCACTCGCAACCAAAACAGGTGATGCCCAGGCCTTGGTCTCTCACCAGCGGGTGAGCAAGTGGCCCCATGCCTGGGGGGTGGGGAGGGGGACGGGCTGTGTCTGGGGAATCAGGTCCCCAGCCCCAACCCGCCTGGGAGCCCGGAGCCTGGTCTCACCTGTGTCCTCTGCCTCGTCCTCCCCATCTTCGTCGTCTCCCGAGGACGGGGCATCTGCAGTGCGGGGGAGAGGGGCCATGGAGGGGGCCATGCCCATCGCCCCAACAAGGGGCTGGAGGGGGGCTGGTGTCTGGCACCCCCACCCAGGCACCCACCCTCCTCAGCGGCGAGGCTGGTCCTCTCCTGATCTGTCTCCTCCGGCCCAGGGGACCCCGGGCGGTTTGTCCCTCACAGAGCCCCCAGGGGTGCCCCCTCCACCAGGGGCCCTCAGGCCGTGGCAGCACCCACCTGTCACCCGCACGCTGAAGCGGCACAGCTCGCGCTGGGTGAGCCGCTGCCGGCAGCTGTAGGCCCCCGCGTCCTCGTGGGAGGCGTTCAGCACCTGCAGCCGCTGCGGCCCCACCAGCACGCGGTCCGAGGGCGCCCGCCCCGCCCCGTCCTTGGCCCAGACGGTGGGCCCCGTGGGGACGCCTGCAGGCAGGTGGCAGCTCAGCTCCACGGTGTCCCCGCTGCCAAACACCAGCTGCTCCTGCTGGGGGGGCTCCGGTCCCGGGACCTCTATGGGCAAGACGGGTAGCCGTGAGGCAGGCGCCCCAAACCGAGAGCACTGGGCCGCGCACACAGCCCAGAGTTACCAGGCGCCTCCTCACAGGTGGACCGGCTACAGCACGGCTGTCGGCCCGGCAGGCGGGTCCGGGTCCAGGCGGGCCTGGTGACGGAGGATCTGCACCCAGAGCCCGAGCACGGTGGGCGGGCACGTCTGCAGCCCGGCCCCCCCCCCCCCCCCCCCCCCCGTCCCAGACAGCCTGCCGCGGGCACAGCGCTCAGGTTCACATGCAGACAGGTGGCCGCCCAGGCAGGCTGCACGCAGGGCAGGGCCGACAGCCACCGCAGCCTCAGGGTCATGGGGCCGACAGCCACCGCAGGCTCCTTCCTTCGAGTTTTGCCAACCACTCAGGAACGCAAAACCCATTCTGTGTTTGGGGCGAAGGGAGCTGGAACCTCCGTTTTACAGGTGACAACACAGGCTGGGGAGAAGGCTGTCACAGGAGGTGCCCGGCCGGCGTGGCTCAGTGGTTGAGCGTCGACCTATGAACCAGGAGGTCACGGTTCGAATCCCATTCAGGGCACAGGCCTGGGTTGCGGACTCTATCCCTAGTGTGGGGCGTGCAGGAGGCAGCCGATCAATGGTTCTCTCATCATTGATGTTTCTCTCTCTCTCTCTCTCTCTCTCTCTCTCTCTCTCTCTCCTCCTTTCTCTCTGAAATCAATAAAAAAATATACTTTTAAAAAATGTCACAGGAGGAGGCCACCTCAGCACTCCAGCGGCTGCCCAGCTCCCAGGAGGCCAGCAAGACCTGAGACCCAGGGACACACCCCTGGTTGGGCTGACCACCACCCCCGCCTCCCTGCCAGGGCCAGACAATGCCCAGCGCAGGCGGGCAGCCCGGGCTCTGGGCCCAGGACGGGCCGGGTGGTCCGGCGGCTCAGGCCCCCTGCCCCACCCGCGGGGTCGGCAGCTCCGTTACTTGTCATTCCGCCGACGCGTGGCCTAGATTCAAGGGCCCAGCTGCCCCTCTGGGGCCTGGCTCCCCGGACAGGCCGGCTCGGCCCCCCACCTCGGCGTCCTCCTAAGCCCTGTGCCCACGGGCAGGGTGTCCGGAGGCGTCTAGAGTCTGTGTCCCTGGGGACCTCAGAGTGTCAGACACCTGGCCTGCCCTCCAGCCCCCAGTCCTAGCCACTGTGTCCTGTGGGGACCACCCAGTGCCGAGAGCCGACGGAGGCCCCCCAGAAGGCGGAGAACGGGCCGGGGGGGGGCAGCCTCAGCCCCAGGCCCCGGCCAAGGGCAACAGCATTGGTTCCGCTCTGGTCTGGGCAGCGAGGCATCTGCACAAGGATTTGCTTCAATCTGATCCAGCGGGGGCCGGAGGGACACAGCACCCCTAGGCCAGACACGCCTGGCAGCCATCTGCAGAGGTGGGGTGAGGGGCTGACCCCTGACCTGCCCACCACCCTGCTCAGCTGGGTGCCTGCATAGGCCAGAGCCTCCCAGACCAGGTCAGTCTCCGCCCCTGCAGATCCAACATACCAGGCCCACTCAGAGCCTTAGGGGGGCCCCACGGAGAGCCTTGGGGGACCCCACGGAGAGCCACAGGGGCGGAGGGAGCGGTGTCAGGCAGGGAGACACAGGCATCTAACTCAGACCCAACTCAGGCACTCAGGGAGCAGAGCGGGTGTGGAGCGTGGAAGCGCCTGCTGCTCTCCCTGCACCAGGCACGGGCTTTATTTATTTTTAAAAATATGTATACTTTCAATTGATTTCAGAGAGGAAGGGGGAGAGAGAGATGGAAACATCACTGATGAGAGAGAATCAGTGATTGGCTGCTTCCCACACGCCCCCCACTGGGGATCGAGCCTGCAGCCCAGGCACATGCCCTGACGGGGAGTCGAACCTGGGACCTCCTGGCTCATAGGTCGACGCTCAACCACGGAGCCACGCGGCCAGGCCAGGCACAGGCTTCAGAAGAGCCCGGCGCAGGTGCCTCAGAGGGACCCTGGCCTCTGGGCAAAGGTTCTGGCCTCCCCTCCCCGGGAACATTCCGAAAAGTTTCATCACAAAGTCAGGAGAACGGGGGGTGGGGTGGGGTGGGGGGGGGGGGGTTCCGGCTGGGCTGGCTGATGAGGGCTTATGGGATTATCCCGCCTAATCCTCCTACACCCCCTCCATTATCAGTCTCCCGGGACAGGTGAGGAGCCCAGGCTCCGGGGCACCAGGGCAGGGACAGGGGTCAGGACGCGCAGCCCCGATTCCAGCTCATTTACTTGTAAATCACTCAGGCCAGGGCGGCCCGATGGGGGGACCTCCCCAAACTCCCGCTCGGCAGACTGGTCTCCCCTCAAGGAGACCCCTTTCCTCTCCAGGTGTGAAATGGGGTCTGTGGGCAACATGGGCCTTAAGAGTGAGTGAGCCAGACAAGCTCAGGGGGTGCCTGCAGAGTTCCTAACTAACTACGGCAGGCCGTGGAGGGGTGGGCTGTGGAGGGACGGGCCGTGGCATGGCGGGCCGTGGCAGGGAGGGCCGTGGCGGGGTGGGCTGTGGTGGGGAGGGCCGTGGCGAGGTGGGCGGGGCGTGGCGGGCCATGGCGTGACAGGCCGTGGCGGGGCGGGCCGTGGTGGTCGGCACGTCCTAGGCCTGCCGCTTCCTGACAAAGGTCAGACTTTACCTTTGAAACGGTCTGAGTCTTTGTGCACCTACAACGTACCTCGGAAAGGAGTCTCAGAGCCATCTTTTCCTGACCCTCCTGGGCGCACGGGAAACCACGAGGCTATGTGGCGGCCCGCATGCCATCTCTGCTGCGAAGGCCCGCTACCCTGCACCCGGCCCGCCTCAGAGACCGCCCCACGCGGACCCTAAAGGACACACTAGGCCCAAGGCCGCCATTCTCCCGAGCTTTGTCTCACCCCGGGGGCTCTTGCTTCCCGACAACTATCAGTTTGGTTCAGTCACCAGGATTTTTCCGCGTGGACATTCTTAGGGCGACAGACTCCAAGTGGGCCCTGGGCCCCGGAGGGAGGGGGCCTGGGGGACGCAGTCCAGCCTGGGGCTCATGCTGGGTTAATGAACCACCCAGAGGCCCCGGAGGCTCAAAGTCCAGCCCGCAGTGGACGGAGGAGGTGGGAGAGGTTGCAGCCAGTGCCTTCAGGGAAATGCTCAGCAAGGAACCCCCGCTGGCTGGGTGGGTCGGACCCAGGGGGCTGCCTCTGCTACCCCCACCCCCCTGCCTGGTGGGGGACCCTGCCCAGGCCCTGCGGAGAGCAGGACCCTCTGGGAATAAGGGGCTGCCTGGGGGGGGGGGGGGGCGGGGTCCAGCAGCACACACCTTCCCCCTGTCCTTGACCCCAGCCGGCGGGCTCCCTAACTTCTGTCCCGGGGGAGGGCCAGCGGCCCTCTGGAAATTTCAGGAGAACTCTGTACTTTTCCTGCCCAGCCCATCTCTTGAAGGAACCGGATTAAGTTTATTGACCTATCCACTCACTACCTGTTTCACCAGCTCTACCACAGGGGCGGGGCGGGGGGAGGGCAGGACGCTCCGGCCCGGAGGCGGCCAGGTCTCCCTCTCCAGGCCCCGAGGGCCCTCCTGTCGCTGGGCCAGCGGTCCGCATCCGGCGGGGTCGCCCCAGGCTGTGCGTCCCAGGCCCCGACCTCAGAGGCGGGCCGTTCTGGGGAGGGGGTGGAGGCGGCCGCGCCCACGGTCCCGCGCGCCGCAGGGGGCCCGGGGAGGACCTGGGGCCCGGCCGACCGGCCCCGGGCCAGTTGGCATTCCCGGCCGCAGGGAGTAATATCTTTATCTGAATGCGAATGGGAATGCTAATGGGGCCCCCCGCCGCCACCACTCCGCGCCCTGGAAGCGGGGGCGCTAAAAGCGCGCGCTGACCTCCCGGCGGCCCCTGTCACGCCGCTGAATGACACGCACATTCAAGCGCAGGGCCCACTTTCATTCATAAAAAAATGACATTGTTCCGGGAGGCTGCAGCCGCCGCCGGAGACGGGGGCGCGGGGGGCGCGGGCGGGGCGGGCCGCCATCTGCCTGCGTCCCGTCCCGCCTGCGGCCGCCTCGCTGGCACGGCCGCCGGGCCGCCGCGCTCGCACCTCCCGCCGTCAATGCGCGTCTGTGGCCGCGCCGAGGTACAAAGGAGCGGCTGTTCGGTGCGCCCGCCCGGGTGGGGCGTGAGCTCACCGGGCTCCGGCCGCCCTCGGCGCGGCCCCGGACTGGAGGTAGGGTGCCCGCAGGCCCCGTCAGCGCCCCGGAGGTGACGGTCCCCGCGGGCGGGACTCCCGGTGGCCGCCAGCCGGGCCACGCGTCTCTGCCCCGACTCCGGGGAGGCGGCAAGGGTAGGGCCGGCCGGCCTGCGGGGGGCCCCGCCGCACCTCCACGGCCGGCGCGTGTGCGGGGCGGAGCCTGGCGCACAGACCCGCTCCCTGGGCTGCTCTGGCCGCGCAGACCGGGTCCTCCTGAGACCCCCCGACGTCCCGCCAGACCCTGACTACCAGCGGGGAGCAGACACCTTCACCCACAGGCAGGGGAGGGGGGTGGACGGGGCACCAGGAGGCATCGCCTCCGCACGCAGGCCCCTGGGGGCAGGGCCGGACCCGCTCCTACACCGTCCCTGCAAAGTCCCGCCTCGCTGTGGCCGAAGCTGGCCAGGACCCGAGGCCCGGGGAGGCTGGGGGAGCGGCACCCACAGTAGGAACTTTCCGACAATACACACCCCGCGGCGCAACCACAGGGTCCCCGGAGAGGCAGCCCCGCGCCCTCCGACGGCGCCTGGGCAGGCGGCGCCCCCCTGGGGAGGCGGGGCGGGGGCTGCGGACGCGGCAGCTCATGCTTGGGTGGCGGCTCAGGGCGCCCCACCATCAGCCGCGACGGATCTGGCCGCGATCCCCGGGGAGGAAGGGCCACCGGAGCCCGGGCATCGGCCCGCAGGCCAGTCCAGGGTGCGCCCTCGGGCCGACTGGGAGCGGCGCCCCCTCCCCACCAGGTGCCCGTCCCAGGCCCTGCCCAGTGCCGCCCGGCCCTGCCTTACCTGCCACTCTCCGCACGACGCGCTGCTCTGCACCCGGGGGCCCCGAGGCGGCGCCGGTCACGACCGCCACGGCCACGCAGAGCGCGAGAGCCCAGGCCGGGGCGCCCATGGCGGGGGCGGGGGCGGGGGCGTCCTCAGGCGGTGCGCGCGGGCTGGCCTCCCATGGTCCGGCTCCGGCTCCGCACCGGCGGCAGGAGGGCGCCGCTCGGAGTCTGCGGGAGGCGAGCAGCTGGTGACTCGGGCGGGCCGGGCGCACCGGGGAGGAAGCGGCGGCGGCCGGGTCCTGCGCCCCGGTCCCTGCGCCCCGGTCCCCAGGACCCCCGGCTGCCCCGCCCGCCGCCGCCGCCGCCCAGCGCTCCCGGGCCGCCTGGCGCCGGCCGCCTCCTCCCGCCGCGGTCCCTCCCTCCTCCCCCTTCCCTCCCTGGCTGCTGCAGAGCCCTCCCAGGGCGGCGGCGGCGGCAAACTTTCCAGAGCGGGAAGCCCGCGCCCCGGCGGCCCCGCTGCAGGGACCGCTCGGGATCCGAGCCCGCCGCGCGCTCCGGCCCCGCCGAGCGCTCGCCGCGACCCCTCCCGCGCCCGCCCGACCTCGCGCACCGACCTGGAGGCCGCCGGCGCCCTGCTCGCTGTGCGCTGCCCTTTCTTCCTCTCGCTGCCCGCGGCCCTCCGCCTGCGCCCTGCCCTGCGGCCGTCCGCTCGCCGGTGCGGCCGTGTCCCCGGGCGAACAGGACGGGACCGCGCAGCACCAGCTGCCCGCCGCCGCCACCGCCGCCGCCACCGCGCACTGAGTCCAGGCGGCCGGGCGCGCGGCAGCCAGTGGGGGCCGGCCCGCGCCCGCCCCGCCTCCGGGCCCGCCCTGCCTGCCCGGCCACGCCCGCCCCGACGCTTTCGGGGCGGGGACCCTCCCCTCCCCTGGGGCGGTCTGGGGGCGGGGCCGCGGACCCGCTCGCTCCTGCCCGCTGAGGGGATTAGAGGGGGTGAGGCCGGCGGGGGCGCCGGGCGGTCTCCGAGGGCGTGGGAGCCCCGGGCAGGCGAGCGAGGTTCCAGTCTCCCCGCCGGGCGCACCGGGAGGCCAAGCGCAGACCTGTGTTGGCCCAGCGCGCATCCCGGGTGTCTCCCGGCCGCTCGGCCGGGGCTCCAGGGGCCTCCGTGGGTGAAGCGTGTCTGAGAGGCTTCAAAGCAAAGGAGCTGCTCCCGCTGAACCCCGAGGTGTGCGCAGCCAGCCCTCAGAGCGGGAGCCCAGGAGCGCGGCATGGAGGGGGCGGGGCACCCTGCACAAAGGCCTGGGGTGCAGGACCCTCCGCCTGTTTGCCTGGGGCTGAGATGCCAGCGGGAAGCTCGCTGCTGCCCGACACCTGCAGCTGAGCTGCCCGAGCGAGCGGGGTCATTCCCTGCACCCCAGGAGGCATCAGGATGGAGGGCAGGGGCTGGAGGCCCCCCAGGGCTCTGATGAGGCACCACCAGGAGCTGGGGGCAGAGCCTGAGGTGTGCCGGCTGGGCAGGACCCAGGGTGACCGGCTTCTGTGCCACTTTCACCGGGAAGAGGCCCTCCGCCCACTGTCAGGCCAGCCCAGGAGGGATGTCAGGCCAGCCCAGGAGGGATGGGGTCTCCAGGAGCCAGAGCGGGGCCACCTGGGCGTGCCTTCTGGGGTGCGGTTTGCTCATCAGGAAAATGGGCAATGAACACCCTCTGGGACTGGCTGCTTGGGCCAGACTTCAAGGCACTGGGCCCTCACCCCCCTCACCCCCAGGGAGCCCTCAGCCCGCCGCGAACCCCACGGGGCGCCCCTGCCACTCGAGTCACAGCCCCAGGCCACCCACACGGGGTCCTCCCCAGGGTGTATCCCAGGGCCCCAGGGACACACTCTGCTCTAATCTATTAACCAGTCACTTAGTTGCTCAGTGTACTGGGAAGGGGGTGGGCTGCTGGCTCCCTGGGCCCCCTTCCTGGGGGGCCGGGGCTGGATTGGGCTCGAACCCCGATTTCTTTGTAGATGAAGTTGGTAGGCCCGGCAGGAGTCAGCCTGGGGTGGGGCAGGGAGGAGGGCCAGTGCCTGGCACGTGAGGGCTGACCTCCCACTGGACCCTTCTGGGGCCTAAAAAGGGCTCTGCCTTGTCCCCAGCGGGTCCCCTCCCGCCCCTGAGAAGGGGTCCTGCACCCCAAGGCCTCTGAGAGGCGAGCATCCATTCCTCTTCTCAGGCAGCTTTCTGCCTCCAGCACTGAGCCTGGGCCGGCGTGTCCGGGGTATTGAGGGCCTGAGCTGGCTGTTCTCTAAGTGCCCCCTCCTTCTCCCGCTGACCCCCCACCTGTTCTGTCCCCACAAGCCACAGCATAGGAGGCACCACAGGCCTCGTGCCCTCCAGCTGCTGGGAGGGCGTGGCCAGCAGGCAGGGCACGAGCACTTCTGCCTCTGGCCTCTCCCCAGGCCTGCGGGGCCGTGAGCAGGCCTGGGCTGACCCCGGCACTGACAGCCCGGGATCCTTTCCCCCCTGAAACAGTCCCCACCCTCTGGCTGGAAGTTAGGCTCTCCCATCCCCGGGCCAGGGGCCTGAGACCAGGTGCTGCAGGGCCCGGCCCGCCCAGCTCCCAGGGCTCCCCCTGCCTCCCAGCCTCCGGGCTCCAGGCGCCCTGGGCTGCGGCTGCCTCCTCCACCCTCTGCCGCCCGCCCGGGTCACATGGCCTCCCACCGCTGTAGGGACACTGTCGTCGGATGCTGGGCCCACCCGCGCATTCCCGGGCGAGCTCCTCTTTTCAGGAGCTGCACCCTTTTCCCAAACGAGGCCACGCGGCCAGGTGTCGGGGTCCGGACCTGGATGGGGCCCCATCTGGCTGGTTCCTTGGGCGCCACCTCTCCAGGGGCGCTGTCTGGTGGTGCTCAGGTCAGAGGTCAAGGGCCTTTCTGGTGGCTCTGGGCCGACTTGGCCAGATTGTCCCGAAGGTCTGAGCGCAGCGCTTTGCCCGGGAGGGGCTGCGTGAGGCGGCGTCATCGGTGACAAGGTGAGGCTCTTGTGCACGGCTGTGTCTCCACGTCCGCGTCCTCCCGGGAGTGTGGTGCCGCCGTGCAGGGCGTTCCCCCCTTGGCGAGGGGCCAGGCCCGCGGCTCACGCACCACCTTCATCACGTGTCCTCACTGCGGTCACGCTTCCCAGAAGGAGCCGCCAGCCGCCACGATTTTGCCACAGCCCCTCGGGGTCACGTCCCCCAGGACCCTTTGCGATGCCACACTTCACTGGCCGGGTCAGGCTGCCCTCGCCGGGCCCCTGGACGGGTGAGCCAGGCGGGGCGCAGGGCACCCCTCAGGGCTCAGCCTCCCTGTCCCCACCCCCATACCCACAGGGTCTCCTGAGTGAAGGTGAGTGTGGGAGGCCAAGGGCGAGACCAGAGTCAGGGGGCTGAGGGCAGCCCGGCCCGGCCCAGCCTGGTGGGTGACTCAGCCGGCGGCCGGCTTGCTGGGGCCTGTGCCTGTGCCGTGAGCTCCGAAAGGGCCTCATGGGAGGGAAGTGGGGTGCAGGGTGCCGGGGGAGGAGGACAGGGGGGGAGCAGTGCCCGCGTTTCCCCTCCTCGCTTCCCAGGCCAGGCCAGGCTGATGCTGGGGCATGGCAGTGAGGTGCGCTCAGCCAGGGGCCCCTCCTGGTGTGGCCTCGAATCCAGCTCCCGCGTGCTGTCCACAGCACTCCTGGCAGGCCGTGGAGGCCGCCACGTGCCCATCAGTGCCGGTCAAGGCCAATGCCAGGCCCTGCTCAGCCCCCTCCGGAGGGAGCGCCCTGCCCAGAGATGTGCTGCTGCTGCGGGAAGCGTTCCCAGGCTCTGGGACCACAGGGAGGGGCGCCACCTGCTCCAGGCAGCTCACCCCCATGTTCCGGAAGCCACTGACGCCCCTGTCTGCTGGCGGGGCATGGGGTGGCCCCAGGGACCAGGGAGTCACCAGGGATGGAAGAGGAGGGCCCTCTCCTTGCCCCACTGAGCTGGACTGAGAAAGGCCGGGGCTGTGGTGGACGGTAGGTAACGTCTGCCTTTTTATTTTATTCTCAGAAAATTTAAGGAGGATTAAAATAAAAAGCACAATTGATTGGCTCCTTACCACAGAAATGGAATTTTAAAGAACACAGATAAGAGAAGATATTTCCAAATCCACTGGCCAACCCTGACTCTACCATCGAATACCCATCATTTTAGCTCTGAGCTTCCTGGCAGGCTGAGCGAAAAGGGCAATCGCGTGAATCATGTGCTGTGCAGTCTGCCTCCTTAGATGCACACGGTGATAGCCCCAGTCCAACAATTTGGCCTTTTTGCCCCTTGGTTCCCTCGGGCCACTGGACCTCAAATCCTGACTTCAGGTTTGGAAAATGTGGTTGTTTCCTGATGAGCAGAAAACAGGAGGCACAGAGAGTGGTGGGGGAGGGGAGGGGAGGGGAGGGGAAGGCCTAGACTGCCCTGGGCTCCAACCCAGGCCGGGGTGAGAGGCCCCCAGCTCCTGCCAGAGCCTGGCCCCCAGGGCTGCTCTGCCCGGTGGAGGGCAGGAGGTAGCTGGTGGGGAGAGTGGGGGGGGGGGGGCGGAATGCGGCAGTGTGGAGGTGGCCAGAGGCGGCCAGGGAGGGCGGGGTTAAGGCGGCCACAGCTCCTGGGCTGGGCTGGCGGGGGCCAGGCCGGTAGCCGCTGAGCAGCTCAGAAATCTATTTTCCTAAGCACTTGGCATTTGCCTAAAACCTCAAGTGTATTTTCCCTCAGTTTTATTTTTTCTTTGACCCCAAACTCTGGTAAATTTAAGGGAAATTTAATTATGGTGTTTTGGGTCCATTTACACTTAAACCTTCTCAGCGTCTTTTCCAGGACCTTTTGGAGTTCGGCACGTCTTGGGAGCTTCTAAATGAGCGTTTTTATTATTATTATTTTTTGAAAAGGCTTCATCTCCCCCCGCCTCCGCCCCCAGCACCAGCCTTCCTGCCAAGAATAAACAAGCCCGACTCCGCAGGCTCCGGCTGAATTAGGAATCCCGGCCCGGCCCCGGGGCCAGCCCAGTCACGCCTCCTCCCTGCAGGGCCAGCCTCCCCCTCACGGATGCCCCTTCCTCTGGGTCCTGCTGGCCTGTCACCCCCTCCAGGAAGCCCTGCGAGCTTTGCCCTGAGTCCCAGCCACAGCCCCCCCGGGGCCTGAGCTCCCTCTGCCCCTGCTCGTCCCTGCAATGGTCACCCGTGGACAAACCTCGGCCACTCGCTCAGCCGGAGGGCGCCAGTTCAGAGTGGAAGCTGGTCCTGTGGATCATGGGGTCCCCAGCGTCCGCGGGCTGGAGGCCGGGGCCAGGGGGTCTCCCTGAGCCTCCGGTTGGGGCGACCCATGTTCCGTGGGACTGGGAGCAGGAGGACTGAAGCCAGCGGTGATGGTGGCTCCTGACAAAGAACCCCGGGGCAGCCAGGCCTCACGCCAGCCCACCACCGGTCTCCTTTGACAGGCGGGGAAACCGAGGCACAGACCCTCGGGGGGCGTGGCCTCCCCAGGTCCGCGGTGACCTGGTTCAGGTCCCCTGCCCAGGAGGTTTTGGCTGAGCTCAGGAAGGGACGGGGGTGTCCTTTGCAGGTTTCACGGGGCCCAGAGTGCAGGCTCGACCCCCCAGCCCAGGCAGGCACCCAGCAGCCAGACGGAGGAGGCCCCTGCCCCCACCCCGGCCGGCTGGATGCTGGTGCGCGGCGCTGCCCGGAACTAGTTGGAGGAGGCAGCAGTGTGCCCGGTGAGCTGGCCGAGGCTGGGCAGGGGCCACCAGCTCGCCAAGAGCCGCCACTGTCAGGACCCTACTCTCCGA